ATTCAGCATAAACCTTGATGACAAGCCTCGTGCCCTGATGTGCAAATTGAGGCAGACGACCGCAACTGCCAGTGAATTTTGCCTGACAAGGCCTCTTTTGGGGTCCCGATAAAGCAATTCTTAATGTAACTACTGAATGGTCTTCTCTGCAATATGATCATTGTTAGTCCTCCCAATTTCCAGAATGAGTTGATGTTGCTTTAGCAGGAGGTCTAGTTCCAAGCGGAAGAATTCTGGAGCAGTGTCAATCTCGATAACAGATGGAGGGCCATAAAAGGGAAAGAGTTCCAAGCTGGAACGTAGGAGGGGTTGACCAAGAGTTGGGCCCCTTCCGTCCTCAAATGTATGATGTAGTGCATTCACGCGTGACGAGGATGAATTTTCGCTCTCTTCTCATGACCTCTGTAGCAAATGTGCGTCCTACTGCTTCAGGTGTGTTGCATGTACTCTGATCAACTACAATGTGGGGTGACTTGCGTAGAGAACCACAACGGTGACAAGATTTGGACAGTGCCAATTGCCTTGTCAAGGTCCAAAGCAAAGAAATATAGAGAACATACTCGTCTTAGCTGGTTGGCTGAGGGATGGTCCAATTAAATATCCAAAGCTGTCAGAAGGCCATCTTACACCTGTCAGAGAGCAACGATGCTCTCACAACAAGCACAGAGCGGGTCTGAAGTTTAACCACCAGTAAGCTATACAGAGTTATTGTGAAGGACTGTAGGTAGCGTTTCACATCCCTTATATATGTCAATTTCTTCGATGGCCTTGTGCCTTGGAGAAGGTGGGCATGTGGCCGCCTGAGATCATGACACTCATCTTGGAGAGAGCGCCAGGCGGTTCTATGAAGGGCCATCTGAAGGTTCCGTCAAGGATATCCGGATTCTTCTGGGGCCACAATGAAGGAGCATATTGACAGAAAGGGGTTTCGCATACTGGGGCTTTTCTGCTGGCAAAGTTTGCAGGCAAGTAAGATGCTCTTGCAAGGTGTTCGTCTGTATGTTGGTATCAACTAAATGTAGTGCTGATTCAAGTACAGATGGTCTGCTGTCTGAGTATACAAGCATTCAGTTAAGAACATACAATGAATGGGCTTAAATATTTCATGGAAGCAGCATTAGACAGTACCTCTATCTCACATGGTAGCCAAGAAATGTATTGTTGTCTCAATTTCAAACTGATAAATCCCGTTACATGGAATGAAGTCCCTCCGGTCACGTAGAGCTCCGATTTCCTCACAGCACAGTTGGTCCTCTGGGTTTGTCAGTGTGATTAATTTGTTGGTCAATAACACATCCTGAGCAACCTTAAAGGCCTCCAACAAATTGTCTGACAGGATAATCTTGTCACCAGAATGTAGTCCTACAGTAGCACCGTTAAGGGGTGCAAGGGGATTTGAACGTCCTCAGGTAAGGCCTTGTGAGCTCCAATAAATGGATGTAGTCCCTTCACAGTTTGAGGTGGCTAACATGTTGTGAGAGTGACCACGCAGTGTTTACTCGATTGCATTGTATCTTGTTGCCAGTGCCATCCTAGGACTGTTGAATATGTAGGAGCAATGACAGTTTTATGTGGGGAAAGTCGTACCCCATTGTCTTTGAATGCTTCGAGTACTCACCACCAGTTTTCCTGGAGATCATCTGGGTTATCAAATCATCAGTAGATTTCACTACTATGCCCTATGAAGGGTTGAGTTCACGTCAGGCATCAGTGAAGGACCAGGGGAATACTGGGGTACTCTATAATTCCGTTGCAGAGGTTGGACCAGACCCGTGTTGACAAGAGCTTGGCATCGTTCTGACGCGCCATTATATCCATCAATATGGGGTCTAAAGACTTCATCAAACTCCATCATAAGAGCAAGAAAACTGTGCTTGCTCTGTTTGGACAAGACATTCTCAGAGTCAACATAGACATCTGCAAAAAAACTACTGACATTTTATGGCATCAGAAACATGAACCTTGTGTATCCGAGTTACGCTGTCACCGATGGTCTAGTCCTCTTGGACGATAGCTGGACGTATCTGGCAAAACGAATTCTAATTACCTTCGGTTGGTGCGTGAGATTAGGGATTCTTATTCTTCCTGACTAACTTGAGAGGACTCCGATAGCTGGCCTGGTAGGGCATAAGGCAGACTGAGTCGGACGAGTGTCAATTCAAGGTTCTATGGCAAACGTATCATCTGTTTCAGAGTAATCAGTTGGCACAGCAACTTCAACAAATTCACCTGGCCATACTGTTGTTGATGTGTTTTGGGCTCTAATCACGTATGCACGTCTCACACTGTGGTTTAAGTCACATGTACTAGTGGATCCAAACGTGAATGATAAACCGTCTCCGAGTAATATCATTTCTGGACAGGGAGAATGAAACGTCACCTACAACATTCAAAGGAGGTAATCCATTCGCCTGGTGAGTTGACTGAGAACTTACGTTGACGCCAAGTGCCATAGCAGCAGAAAGTCTAATCATATTCAAGGTGGCGCAGCTGTCAAATGTAATGCGTGCCGCCTTGTGTCTGAAGAATGGATCCATGTATGGTGATGATCAAACCTGTACCGAGGCTGACGTTTACTACTTCGAATAGTGCGAGTGTAGTTGTCCCCATGATGTTGGCATCCTCACTTGACCGGATTTCGTCCAATGGGGAGTCTAGAGCCGGGTTTATTGACGCAATGGTTCTGGCGCGGAGACCGGTGCCATACAGTTGCTTGACTACTCTCTGCACGTCTGGGTGTAAAAGTCGCAGCCGTGTCAAGACAATCAGATTTTCCAATGATGAAGAACGTTCTTTGTCTTCTTCTTTAGCTGCACCATGATAGATAATTCATCCATCACGCCCAAGAATATTATCTTCCGCTAAATTGAATTTGGAATTTAGCGCGGTTAAATCTACAGGTAACCTAGCTCTACATTAAAAAAAACACAGTATGTTTATCTCCATTCTACCATGACTAAATAAAACGCGAACTCTTTGGTGTTAGCTAATATACTGAGTGAAGCGGCATGGGTTGAGTCCAGTGTTTTGAGTGGGTTGTCGATCTGAATTTCGGAATCAGCGAACAAAACATGGCGCTGTATATACTCAAGCAGTTTGTTTACACCGTAATACTTCACTCGAACACATGACAGACATTTAAAGCGTGTATGTAACTTGGTAAGCTAACATGAGGTTGGAATCCCTAAAGAAAACAAAGCAAGCTTTGCAAGGCTTTCGCTCTAACATCGCACGACACCATTATGACGTCATATCGCTCATTGTGACGCAAAATATATGACGTCACAGTCGTACATAGAAAAGCGCCAAAATTCCAAGCTCTCTGTTGTCTCCAAAACGTAAATACATTCCCTTTGTAGATTGCTATCGTGTTTTTTTGCACGAAATGTATTGCCACACATCCTTTGAATATTGTAGTAACCGCATCTGTGCATTTTGTAACCTGTAATTGTAGATATAATTATTTAAATATGCCTACCGACAATGACTGAAAATAGTACTATTCTATGAATATTAGTTTCCGCGGTGATGCGGCCGTCAAACCAGCTGTTTCAATCAGAGGGGGTTTATTGTTATTTAATAGCCTCTGATTGACCAACCAGAATCGAGTTAATTCAAAATTCATGGTAGAATGGTGCATTGTTTACCCTTTAACCGACATTCTTGTTTCTTGGATCTAAGGTCACATATTTTTGACAGTTAAGTCATATATAACCTGTCATCAGAGACGAGACCTCGATTATGTCTTTGCCATCCCTTAAAACATTCTACTAATAGCAAAAATTAGGACTTAATACATCAAAACTTAACTCTATGACTCCTTTAAACGGATATCATGATAATAATTCACACAACACAGACGCCTCAGACCTCGCAATGTGCTGTGCAGTTGCCTCCCTTGGACACGCCAGAAACCTGTGATCGTGGGTTCGAAAGCCGGGTCGCCCGGATTATGTATCTAGGTTTGTCCGTACTCGTGGGTTTCACCAAAGTGGTAAACTTCTGAGACCCGCACCACTTCGGGTTTTCCTCCCATTTTAAGCAAACACGTCGAGATATAACTGGAATACTGTTCACAGAGGCATCAATTATCTGCTAGTGACATAGCAGGCATCTACTGACAATGTGTAGTCTCAATGAATTACTCTTTGATCTACAGACCGCCTCCGTGGTCTAGTGGTAGAGCGTTCGCCCAGAGAGCGGAAGGTCCGGGGTTCGATGCCCAGCCGCGTCATACCAAAAGACGTTAAAAGATGTTATCCTGTCTGGCGCTCGGCATTAAGGGGTTAAAACAAGGACTGGTCGGCTCGGAGACTGTATCAGTGCCGTAGCCAGCAGGGAGGGGAGTTGCCCCCCCCCCCCCCCCCCCCCCCCCCCCCCCAATTTTTTTTACAGAAAACAGTTTTATTTGAATCAAGTTGGGCACAAGTGCTACTTGTACAAATATTTGCCCCCCCCCCCCCCCCCCCCCCCCCCCCTGTCAAAAGAAGTTAACTACGGCCTTGAGTATACTGTGCCTGAGTGGGATATTCATGTTAAACTGCGGCATGGTATCTCAGTGAGCTAGCACTATAAATCGGCATCAGTCCGGACTAGTACAAGCAGCCACACACACACACGTACATGCACGTCGCTATATAAGTGCAATAATCATGGACGCGACGTTAAATCCCATTTCACCCCACCTCTTTGATCTACATGAATTGTTTACATTTTTTGTAAAACCACCCGTCATAAAGGTGTACGGTTTGTCCAACAAAACCCATGGACAAACCTTCTTTTTGCATATACACATTCTGATGGAATGAGGGCATGTCTTAAAATATAAAAAACACAACCCTAATTTGAATATTAGTAACAATGTGTTTTTTATTACTTTTCCTGACACATGATGCAATCGTTTCCCTCACCAAACTCATGGTCTTATGACCCGAGACATAATCAATCATTGGTACCATTTAGGGTATACAGTATCGTCTCTCATTACAAAACTTTCCTACCTGGAATCTTGCTATAGTCTTCTAAGCAGCTGAGGTGGTAGCATATGCTACTAGTGTATAAGGTGGCGATATTCTGACGTGTCCCTTCAGTCGATCCAACTGACATACAGATTCATCAATCTGTCGACAACAATGTTTTTTATAGAGTCACGATGACTGACGTTTACAGCTGACAGTGTAATACTGTAGCGTGGAATGAGTGAGTGTGTGTCTGTTGTGTTACTCCGGATATGACAGCGGTCTGTTATAGAAGATAAACGTACTGTGTTTGGAAATTAGATTGCCTGACCGAATTGAGAGTATCTAACCTTCATTTGAAACCGAACGCTATGCTAGAAGATAATATGGGATTTTCGGATAAATGTGGAGTAAAAATTCATATAATTGTGTTTTCGAAACAAGAGATTTATCAAATGTTTATTTGGGTCGTCCATCAAGGAGTAGAGGTCAGATTCGTCTGTTGTAGCGAAACGGCCCGGCTTCCCCCAGAAGTAGTTTGTTTTGCATGTCTTGTGTCTGTGGGAATAATTCTTCTATCGATAAACAACATATCATTGTGTTTTGAGGACTATAGGGTATCAATTTGTCTACAGGGGAATGTGACTCGGATACCAGTTCACCTCCAGGGAATATGAGTAGGGTGTCATTAAGTCTACAGAGAAAAGTGAGAAGGCGGTCTCTCCGGGTGGACAGACGCTCTACCCGCTAGACCACGGAGGCGGTCTCTCCGGGTAAACAGACGCTCTACCCACCAGACCGGGGAGGCGGTCTCTCCGAGTAGACAGACGCTCTACCAACTAGACCACGGAGGCGGTCTCTCCGAGTAGACAGACGCTCTACCCACCAGACCACGGAGGCGGTCTCTCCGAGTAGACAGACACTCTACCCACTAGACCACGGAGGCGGTCTCTCCGGGTAGACAGACGCTCTACCCACTAGACCACGGAGGCGGTCTCTCCAGGTAGACAGACGTTCTATCCACTAGACCACGGAGGCGGTCACTCTGAGTAGACAGACGCTCTACCCACTAGACCACGGAGGCGGTTTCTCCAGGTAGATAGAAAGATGTGAGGATATTGAATTTCAAAATTGGCATAATAGTTTTGAGCAACCACGCGCTTACAGAGATATGCAAGTTTTAAATCATTGCTGCTTATTCAGACTGCCGTACCAAATGTTTCTCCTAAAACATCATCTTCACACATCAAGAGAGAAATTATATACGTCATTCTAAGAAAATAATCTTCAGGTATACCAGAATATTGCAATATGTCTCAAGGGAATTTTCCTAAGATTAACTTTATCTTTTACGTTCCATTATGGTTATGATTGTTGTTATACACCATAACACATGCCAAATATGTATAATTATACATTTGATATACTGTAGGCCATGTGGCCCCATATACTGTACCATATAATCTGAATGTGACAGGTGTATCAGTTCGCCGACAGGAAATGTGACTGTGGTATCAGATCGTCAACAGGGTATGTGACTATGGTATATCACTACGTCTTCAGGAATTTGACCAGGGTATCAGTTCTTCTCCAGGGAATGTGACCAGGGTATCAGTTCTTCTACAGGGAATTTGACCAGGGTATCAGTTCTTCTACAGGGAATGTGACCAGGGTATCAGTTCTACTACAGGGAATGTGACCAGGGTATCAGTTCGTCTACAGGGAATGTGACCAGGGTATCAGTTCGTCTACAGGGTATGTGACTATGGTATATCAGTTCGTCTTCAGGAAATGTGACTGTGGTATCAGTTCGTCTACAGGGTATGTGACTATGGTATATCCGTTCTTCTACAGGGAATGTGACCAGGGTATCAGTCTGTCTACAGGGAATGTGACCAGGGTATCACTTCGTCTACAGGGTATGTGACTATGGTATATCAGTTCGTCTTCAGGAAATGTGACTGTGGTATCAGTTCGTCTACAGGCTATGTGACTATGGTATATCAGTTCTTCTACAGGGAATGTGACCAGGGTATCAGTTCGTCTACAGGGTATGTGACTATGGTATATCAGTTCGTCTTCAGGAAATGTGACTGTGGTATCAGTTCGTCTACAGGGTATGTGACTATGGTATATCCGTTCTTCTACAGGGAATGTGACCAGGGTATCAGTCTGTCTACAGGGAATGTGACTAGGGTATCACTTCGTCTACAGGGTATGTGACTATGGTATATCAGTTCGTCTTCAGGAAATGTGACTGTGGTATCAGTTCGTCTACAGGGTATGTGACTATGGTATATCAGTTCGTCTTCAGGAAATGTGACTGTGGTATCAGTTCGTCTACAGGGTATGTGACTATGGTATATCAGTTCTTCTACAGGGAATGTGACCAGGGTATCAGTTCGTCTACAGGGAATGTGACCAGGGTATCAGTTCGTCTACAGGGTATGTGACTATGGTATATCAGTTCGTCTTCAGGAAATGTGACTGTGGTATCAGTTCGTCTACAGGGTATGTGACTATGGTATATCCGTTCTTCTACAGGGAATGTGACCAGGGTATCAGTTCGTCTACAGGGTATGTGACTATGGTATATCAGTTCGTCTTCAGGAAATGTGACTGTGGTATCAGTTCGTCTACAGGGTATGTGACTATGGTATATCCGTTCTTCTACAGGGAATGTGACCAGGGTATCAGTCTGTCTACAGGGAATGTGACCAGGGTATCAGTTCGTCTACAGGGTATGTGACTATGGTATATCAGTTCGTCTTCAGGAAATGTGACTGTGGTATCAGTTCGTCTACAGGGTATGTGACTATGGTATATCAGTTCGTCTTCAGGAAATGTGACTGTGGTATCAGTTCGTCTACAGGCTATGTGACTATGGTATATCAGTTCTTCTACAGGGAATGTGACCAGGGTATCAGTTCGTCTACAGGGTATGTGACTATGGTATATCCGTTCTTCTACAGGGAATGTGACCAGGGTATCAGTCTGTCTACAGGGAATGTGACCAGGGTATCAGTTCGTCTACAGGGTATGTGACTATGGTATATCAGTTCGTCTTCAGGAAATGTGACTGTGGTATCAGTTCGTCTACAGGGTATGTGACTATGGTATATCCGTTCTTCTACAGGGAATGTGACAAGGGTATCAGTTCTTCTACAGGGAATGTGACCACGGTATCAGTTCTTCTACAGGGAATGTGACCAGGGTATCAGTTCGTCTACAGGAATGTGACCAGGGTATCAGTTCGTCTCCAGGGAATGTGACCAGGGTATCAGTTCGTCTACAGGAATGTGACCAGGGTATCAGTTCGTCTACAGGGAATTTGACCAGGGTATCAGTTCGTCTCCAGGGAATTGACCAGGGTATCAGTTCTTCTACAGGGAATGTGACCAGGGTATCACTTCGTCTACAGGGTATGTGACTATGGTATATCAGTTCGTCTACAGGAAATGTGACTGTGGTATCAGTTCGTCTACAGGGTATGTGACTATGGTATATCAGTTCTTCTACAGGGAATGTGACCAAGGTATCAGTTCTTCTACAGGGAATGTGACCAAGGTATCAGTTCGTCTACAGGGAATGTGACCAAGGTATCAGTTCGCCTGTCGGATCTGTATAAATGTATGCTTGCTTTTGATCACTGAAGAATGGAGCAATATGGCAACTGAAATAAACAGCTGAAAGAACACCAAAGTTCCACAAAAACCGAAGGCTATATTTTAGAGGCAAGAAAATTTACTCCGCCAAGGCAATAAAATGTAATTGCATTCCTCTCGCAAGAATGAGCGGTTGGGCTATTATTTCAAGATCAAACAGATTAAAAAATAGTCCAAATAGTACGCGGATGATTGGCATTCCGGGCTATGATTTGGAATATCTGTTGTCTTCAAATGCACTCGTTCATCTGTTAGTCCACATAATAATTTCTTTCCTGATGTTAAAGAAGTATATTATCAGTGGTGGGACTGCAATGTCCAGGCGAAACCTATCAGGACAACATACCTAGCCAATATCCGAGGTTGAACTCTTGACTAACACATACCGATCCTAACTCTAAACCAACAGAGTTGCGTCCCTTGTACACACCAGAAAACTATGACTGTGGGTTCGAATCCAGATTTGCCTGGATTATGTTTGTAGGTTTGTCCGTACTTGTGGGTTTCACCGAAGTGGTAAACGTCTGAGATCTGCATCACTTCGGGCTAACCTCCCACAACAAGCTGAAATGCCCTGATAGAAATGGACTGCTGTTCAAAGTGGCACCAATTTTCTGTTAGTGCCAAAGCAGGGCATCCACTGACAAGGTGCAGTCTCTCTGAATTATTTATGTAACCTACTATTTACAACTTATTTAAAAATCACAGCCTGACAGTTGCGGTTTGGAAAAGACTTGTCTTTAGCAGCAAAAACAAATCCTTCCGTTTCATTTTTAAAGCCAGCAGACTTCGTCCAAGCAAAGGAGACAGTTTGGTTACTATTCTGTTCAACACTGCATGTAATCACGATGCAGTGGCGTATCCCCGAAAGGACATCCCTTGAGAAACGACCCTGAGACGGTCTTTAAATGAGGCTTTGTTTGGTTTACATCCGCATAAAACAAATGACATGATAAATATTGTTCGCAATAATTTTGAGCGACTCAGGCACACTTTACATGTCTGTTGTGTTATTTTCATGTCTCCTTTGACAAGCAAGACATTCTTCACACAGTCAACAGTGACAATGCACTATTTTCCTTGGTGCGCATTGTATCGAAAGATTCCACGTTTTGCAGTTTGTTGCAAACTTGGGAAACACGTCTTCTCTTTGTTAGCGTAAGGACATGGGGGTCCGAGCTGTTTGCTAATATCATGACTCTGTTCACGTTAGTGCCATTCGCACAGCGTTGCTTCCATGTTTACTGGAGCTAGTCATTGCCTTGACGGGAAATCCACTGTTATGGCCTCAGACCACAGTTACCCCAAACCTAAGTGTTACCATGAACCGGAAGGAAAATAGGAGAATATAGTGCCCTATTTAAATGTGCTGTTCAGCATGTGGCAATTTTTTGGGAGTGACTTGTGATAGCATAAATGAAAGATTAGACATTGTAGTTTCCTGTCAATGTTTTGTTAGCCACAATATGTGAAGGTATTGATTCAAGCTTCCCATGATTTGACCCCAATTTGAAGGCCGCTGTGTGTGTTTCGGCTCGAAACTTCCGGTGAGCATTGTTGACAGTGGTTACTGCGAAAGCAAGCTGGTGGATGTTGGCCAATACTTTGCGTTTTAAGTGACAAGTGGCAGGTTGGTCAGCATGCAACAGGAGAACAGCCTACGACTGATAATAATTATGGTGGGCTGCCATGTCACTATAGATAGCAAAGAAGGAAATTCATTGTGGTCTGAGGCCTTATACGGGTGCGGTGGGGTAGCCTAGCGTAACATGTCACCGGTCGAGTGATTAGATACTGTTTTTTCAGTCGTGTCAATGTGAACCTCTTCACGCTTGACAATCGACCAAGCAGAAATATCATTAATAATTTGTGTTTTCATTTACAATTCAGTCACGGACTAAATTATGTCTGTGATACAGACATCAGTGGGGCCGTAGTGTAACGGCGATAAAACTTGCAGAACGCCTTACCTATTATGACTTTGTCATAACGTTCACAGTGAACAATGGAAACCATGACTATGTTGCCATGTGCAATTGCTATGTGCACATGGTCACCGATGGTCAGTGTGAACAAAACAAGTTAAAACTCAAATACCTTTCAAATTAAAAAAATCATATATTACGTGATCACTTGTGTACCACAATTAACTCACCGTGAGCATACTAGTATCCCGAGACCACTGTAAATATTTCTGAAAGATTACATATTTTTTTTATAGACGTCAGAACGTACACCACTGGTTTCGCAATGAATTATATCATTGAATGTTGTTAAATAGTTTTTGTGATTTTATCCTTGTATCAACATTTGCATGGAGATTCATGAAACATACCGGAAAATGCGCAAATAAATTACTGCAATATTGAAAATGGTGAACGCTATGATACACCCAAAAAAACTATCTGCATGAAGCTGATTAAAAACTCCGTGTGCTGCTTACAATATAATATTAACACCATACACCACATGATATAGTCAAATAAATTGCAAGAGATTATATGCCTTGGCTTTTGATTGGCTAACCCAGCAATGATTTTGTTTGGGTTTGTTATCCCATAAACCTAAAACAATAAGACCATGCCCTATAAATGGTTAAAACACTTTGAAGTTATTATTGTTGACTGATTTATTTATAAGAACTGACTTCTATGTACGCAAAGTGTGCACTCCATTTTTGTTTGTAAATACCTCCATTAATTATTCTTAAATAATCTATGATCCATTGACAGAATATAGAAAACTATCACGTTTCATTGATAGTTGCCAAAATATTGGTTCCCAAATGTTTAATGTTGCATTTGCTTGAAATGTGAAAAGGCAACTTGTACTATACGACCACTGTACATGTCACGGTCGATGTTTTGAGATGCGCTGTAAATCACGCAGGTCGTCACAGTCGTCAGAAAATTTAGCGTAAATATTATATAAAAAGTAGACAGCACACGTTTGTTTTATAAATGATTGATCATTGAAAGTTTTACAGGTGTTCGGGCAACGACGCCGATTTACACGTCGACCATGATTAAGATTTGCTAAATTTCTAAAAATGTTCTAAACTAGAGAAACTGCCACAGGCATAAATACAAGCAAGAATTATATTTTGAACTTCTGCAGGAGGAGGGGATATTGTCTCATCCCGTTCTCATTCACTAGTCTAAAGGAGCTGTTGGCAATTTGGCATTTCCAAGTAGTCCAACATGAGCAGGCATCCATGAAAATTCAACATCTTTACTTAATTCATTATAAAGGTCGAGAATAATGTTGATCAAGTCCTGCCTCGCTGAGGAGGAACCTCCCCGAATGTCTTGTAAAGCACTGACAGAATAAAATGACCGCTGACATGGCCTTAAAAATGAATCCAACGCAATGCTTCAATGAGGTGTTATGTGAGTGTCTTAAGTCTGCTGAGTATCATTAATGTTACTTTAATACAGAATTGTTGTGCTGTTCATCATGACCTATTGACAATAAAATGTATGCTTGCTCTTGATCACTGAAGCATGGAGCAATATGACAACTGAAAGAACACCAAAGTTCCATAAAGGCCGAAGGCTATATTCTAGAGGCAATACAATCTACTCCGCCAAGGCAATAAAATGTTATTGCATTGAACCTCTCGCTAGAATGAGCGGTTGTCTATTATTTTCAAGATCAAATTGATTACAAATAGTCCAAAGAACACAGGCAATTATTACGCGGATGATTGAAGCGGTACTAATTTTGTGTGTGCAATGTGTGAGGTGATATTGCTGGAATATTGCTAAGAGTGGCGTAAACCAATACTCACTCACTGTTATGAAATTTCGTACAAGATCTCACCGCCCGAGTGATTAGATACTGTCAGTCGTGTCAATGCTCGTCTCGTCACAATACGTCTTGTACATTGTTAGCAACTTGTTTTTTGTGATTGATGTCGCACTGAAACGGGGTATATTTCCATCCTTTAACAGAGTTGCTGTACAGTGGTCCTTTTCTTGGAATGCATGGAAAATATTTGTCTTGGACCAGCAACTTATTAAAGATTTGAGTAAAATAATCAACGTTCATGATGGTCAATTCACCGCAGTGACCTCAAGATCAATCCATGATGGATGGAGTCATATGCATTTCGTTGCATCCCCAAAACAATTCCTTGCTCCCTCCTACTCCAAGTAGATTATGTCATTGGAAGAGCAATACCTTGACACCTTTTCTGTAAGACACTTTGTAAAAGTTTGTAAATTGTGTTGATACACGTAATGGGTATGTTTGGGGGTCAGTCTGATAACTTTTTTTTTGGAAATGAGTACTGTACGTCCTTTGCATAACAATTGAGGAACTTCCGCGTGTCCAAAATCAGGTTAACACGATTCATTAAATGGTTGTGGACAGAGGGAAACAGTTTCCATTACCGATTTTGAATGCCATCATGCCCAAGTGCAGTGTCAGGTTTAGACTTTGTAATAACTCTCTTCAATGAATCAGAGGTAATGACGTATATGCATGGTCAAGAATATTGGTGCATACTGGTGCTGTCCTCTTCAACCCTGGTTCCTCAAGGTTGCAGTTGCCGGGTATTGACCACTGCTCAACATGATTAGCATCACAATATCAAAGGGAATAACCTGCAAATTAAGTCTTTGGCATCACAATGGGGCCATCAGAAGACATTCCAGGGTCATGGCAAAGTCTCAATGCTGCTTAGTTAATGAACTGTTTGCCTTTGATACGTGGATTGTTTGGCCAGCCTTTTATATCAGCACACTCACGCAGTGTGGTTTTTATATGTATTGTTTTTCAAGATAATCTTGGAAGGGTTCTGTGGGGAAAACACCTCCCTATCTCGGTCCAGCAGGGGGCACACATCATCATCACCCTGTACGAGGATCTACTGGTAAACGTTTACGTCACGGTAAGAACACACGCTAGACAACGACACCAGCGTCTGTTTTGAATCGTCGTATTGAAAGAATAGAAAACAGAAGGTGAAATCCGTAAGATCCCGTCTTCAACATTATCTAAGACAGTTCCTGAATATTTAAGAATTGACTTCAATAGTGTTGCGTTTATGGAGGTATATACGTAAAACACCGGTGTGCCAACTGTAGGTCTGCGTAGCGGAAACTGTGCACATTGGTTGTAACGTTTGTGACTTTATAAACGCAAATATATATTGAAGACAATTACCATAAATTAATACGTTCACAATAAAAACTTCACAGACAGCTTATTCAATTAACAGATAAAAAAACTGTAGAAAAAGAACGAAATCAGTGGCATCGCTCAGTGCCATTACGGACCCGTGAAGATCCGGGGTAGAATAGGTCTTCAGCAACCCATGCTTGCCGTAAAAGGCGACTATGCTTTTCGTAAGAGGCGACTAACGGGATCGGGTGTTCAGGCTCGCTGACTTGGTTGATGCTTGTCATCGATCCCAATTGCGTGGATCGATGCTCATGATATCAATAACTGGATTGTCTGGTCCAGACTCGATTATTTACAGATCGACGTCAAATAGCTTGAATATTGCAGACTGCGGCGTTAAACAACCAACCAACCAACGACCCAGTCCAATAACGCAACATAAGCTCCGCCTATTGTATTGTCAGTCAATCAGACAACATTAGTCATAAGGGGAGGCTTAAACCATTTTCGACATTAAAAACCAAGCGAGGTGCATATCAAAGTGTGGATGGACATATTTTCCAACCATTGTTTTAAACAAATGATGTATTGTGTTTGAATGAGCAGAATCGTTCGTTACAAGCTTTACAGTACTTTGTGTGAAGACAGAAGTCAGAGGTACGCTTGCTGCTTAGGCATTTGTACCGTACGAAAGGTAATATGACGTGTGCCATGAGGAAGGTAAGAATGTAACTGTGTTCTTAAATGCCTCCTCTAAAGATTGATACGTACTGCATTGATCAGAGAAGGTTAAAATGTTGATAAACGCTCAGAATTAGGCATGAATGTTTAAGGACCTTACATCCCTCTCCGACATCCTGGGCCACATGGCAGCGCACTGAGGTTCGGTGTGCGGTACCCCATGATGAGCACAAAAGTAGCGGGAATTGGAACTGTGCAGCTCCTGATTTGAGGTTGGTCGCCTTTTCCACATGGATGTCTCACGTAGGATATCTGCACGACCTTCGACAACATGAATATTAATAGGTTCCAATATGGCAATATTTTATCTGAAGAAAACCGTATCTATGGCCTACCGGGGTCTGGACGAGTTTGTTACATTTCTGAAAATAGAACGAAGACCAACGCAACACTACAAGTACAGTCTGAGACAGGGGACAAGATGTTTAGAAAAAGAAACCGCAACGGAGAGGCCAGATTCCAATTCCTGAAAGACCAACTACAGATAGGCCAACCAACACTCGTTGAGTTTGCTGATGAGACTGCCTGTGTGCTATTCATTTGAAATAAACTTTATATATGCCTTCACATATACCATTAGCACAAAGCGTGCCCCCACTTTAGTTTTGAGACGCTACCCGTATCTCCCAATTGTTCACTCCTCAGAAAACATCCGTCAAAACGACGTATTTTCCAGTCTCACCAGAGCGAGCTTTACCCCCTCGATTTTGGACGTGATACCTCCCTTTCATACCAGCCTCAATATATCGAACTGAATCGGATCTTATCCTGAGCCTTAAGACTCAGGGAGGGGAAGCCCTTATGCTAGATGTTCCCAATTGTACTAATGACGGAAAGCAAACATGATGTGATGTGGTGAGGGAAGCCCTTATGCTACAAGACGTTCACAATTGTATATATGACGGCAAGCAAACTACGTGTCAAATAATTTGTAATGCCGCAACTTGTTTCAGTCATGAAAGAACATTGTAACGTGCAAATGTTTTTGTCCCAAATGGCGATAACTCTCCATATACTACTACTACTACTACTACTACTACTACTACTACTACTACTACTACTCTGCACAGCCCCCTGCGACACAAAGAGAGAAAGACGTGGTAAAACGGATCCCTGATACACCTTCATTCAAACCCGGTGTTTACTACTCAGTATCAAGCACATGTTTTGAAGCGATTGTAAGTTTAGAGTGGCAACGTCTGTTCAGTCAGCAAAAAATCACGAACTGAAAACGTCCTAACTACGTCAGAAAACAACGAGGGTCGAGGTATTCTGTCAGCCTGGGGTATTTTGTTTGTTGTTTAACGCAGCGCTCAGCAATAATCTAGCTATTTGACGGGGATCTGTAAATAATCGTGTCTGGAGCAGATATTTCAGTGATGGAAATCGTGAGCATCGATCCAAACATTTGGGATACGATGACATGCATCAACCAAGTCAGCGAGCCTGACCACCCGATCCCGTTCGTAGCCTCTTACGACATGCATAGTCGCCTTTTACGGCAAGCATGGGTTTTCGAAGACCTTTTCTACCCCGGATCTTCGCGGGTCCAGCCTGGGGTAACATTGCTTCAATGAAATAATGCAAATTCACTTTGTTTATCATTATTTGTGTCATTCCCCTATTCCATAATTATTGCATTCAAATCAAACAGAATTCTCCAACTACCATGGACTTCAACATGTTCAGTGTAATGAAGTCAGAGATAGATTTACATTCGATATATTGTCCCGGTAAATTTCCGTCGATTACCGAGAAGTGAGAAGAAATAACTTGTAAAAAACAATTTGAAATGTTCCTTTTATATCAATTTTCCCTCTTACATCGGATACAATTTTGTTTGAACTTTTACCTTAATCAGAAATATAACAAATCAATCAATCAGTCCCTCATCAAATATATCCATCATTTAGTGCTAAGTGTCATGTAGGGAAGAATTATTTGAATTTGTTGGCAACATTTTGATATTAATGCTCTTAAAATATTGGTAGTTTACAGAAATGAGTCCCAACAATTGAGAAAATCAAAATCGTACTGGCTTCTCTAGCAGATGTGTGAGATACAGAAACGGATGTTGTATATGATATTTGCAAAACTAACAAATCATAACTATAATTTGTATAGCCCTAATGTCAAGTAAACTTCAGCCCCAGGGCGCTTTGAGTCTGGTTATGTCAAGACAGACACATCGATCAGGTCTCTAGACTTCATAGGCCTGCTCAAAGATACATGTTTTCGGTTTGGTCTTAAAGGTGGTAAATTCCTGAATTGAGCGAAAGTTCAGAGGCAGATTATCCCACAGGTATTCGCCTGCAGCCAGGAAGGCACCCCCCCCCCCCCCCCCGCACGAAATTTGGTGTTGGATTGCACATGATGCCCATGTTTTGATCACACGATCTCTGTGATCGTTGGGGCTGGTAGGAGTCCCCACACGGTGATCTGAGAGTGATCAGGGAGGTACATATGTGCCAGACCGTGGAGGACTTAAACAGAACCACAAGTTGTTTAAAAGCAATACGCTGACATCTTCCCGGGGCAAGAGAGTTAACTGACAATAAAAGTCCAGTTTCCACCCTTGCCGAACTAGGCTGGTATTATGAGTTACATTTTGGCTGGACTAACGAGTTTATGCATAGTCCAATCAAAATCGCGCAACGAAATCGAAATCCGGTTTGTAAACCGTTGTACGATCGTCGATCGATTGCAGGATTTACAAAGCATGTGCACCGCCAACTCGGTGTCAACAGATATTTCCCAAATCTTTTCATGTTTTTAATCAAGATGCTCCCGTGATCTGATGCACTTCGCGATGTAAGATCCGTTTTATCACAATTTAGATCTTGATTATCGATCAGGATCGTTTTGACTGGGCGCCGCCATTTTGTTTAGAGCAAATGCAAGTGATACGAGAGGTGGAATCTGATTTGTCCATAGGAGAGGCATAGAACGATCGAGCACAGGAATTCCAGCCTAGTTTGGCAAGGGTGGAAACTGAACTTTCTGGAAGATGTACGCTTATGACTGGCAGCCTGTGTTGGGCTTTAGGACTGGCGTGACGTGCTCAAACGTTCGTTTGTGAGTTACTATATGTACTCGTGCTGCTGAGTTTTGTTCTCGTCGTAGTTTGTTGATGAAATGTTCTGTGAGGCCATAAACCACAGCGTTACAGAAATATAGCAGAGATATAACAGTTGTGAGAGTTGCTGCAGGATTGATCAAGAAAGACGTTTCCCGTAATTTTGTCATGTGGGATAGTGGTTTACAAAGTTACATATTTTAACAGAATTCAACTTGGTTCTTTCCTGAGAAGCTAATCCTATGTTAGAAGATCCATGTTAGAATTCTTCTCCAAAAACCTAAGCTTTTCGTGAGAGGCAATTGACCGGATCGGGTGATGAGGATTATCTGACTGAGACTCAAATATTTTGTTGAGTGCGGCATTAAAAAAACCAAAAAACAAACAAAAGTTATCATTAAACTGAAATATCTATTTACAGGTGGGTGTTAATCCTTGTCCAGCGTGATTTACACGGATAAACACCTGGGCCAAAGAAAAAGTAAATACCGGTTGTAACTATGGACACGTTGTACCACCACGTGTGCTTGTTCATGTGTGTTGTAATTGGACTGTTTGGATGGGTGTCATCGCAGACATCGAAGGAGATAAGAGAGAGTTATTCCCTGCAACACGCTCTCGATGTTCGGTTCGCAGGTAAGTGAAGCCTTTTAATCCCTTTAATTATTAAACATTTTTCCCAACCCGATGATAAGGTTGCAGTTTATATAATCACTCTGTTGTCTTCCTCAACTGATTGTGTAAAGAAGTAAATACTTGGAAACGATTGAAACACATTTTAAAGATATAGTTACATATGCCCAATCGTATATTTGCATGTTTGCAATGTATTGCCACTTCTTTTAAGAATGGTTGAGTTAAATCGTAAATAAGAAGTACCGCTTTGAACAAAATTATATTCATTGTGGTTATACTAATGCGAATTACTCTATCTATATATACTAGTCCTTTCTAATGCGGATGGTTTAAGTCAATTGTATAGATATGTTTGTTGCTCTAAATCCAACAGAACTTTCTCATATTATAGCTGTTATACATGCCTTTGGGGCTATATGCAGTATACTGGTGTATGTTTGTATATTGGATTATATTTGACATGATTCTATTGGGGACATGGGTGTGCGGAGTTGCGTTCCTTTGATGCTTCAGAAACTTGTGATTTCAGGTTCGAACCCTGTTTCGCCATGATTGTTTCTAGATTTGTCAGTACCTTACTCACTGCGGTATTCGCTGTCACATCAAGCTGACACGCCTTGATATAACTGAAATACTTTTGAAAGCGTCGTTAAAGCCAAATCACTCACTCACTCCTTTACCTGTACCAGATGTGGACAAGAACGGCGGGAGATCAGCTAGAGCCATGCACACGGCGTTTGTGGGCAGCAGCCCAAGGGCTCGAGCACTGGGCTACAACTACCAGGAGCGCATGTCCAACACATTAAGGAGTATCAAAAGGTAGGGTTATCACACATACACTCTAAGGTACATAATAGCTCTATTAAAGCATCGATCACTGACAGGACTAATCTTCTGTGTTGGCAACACACTGCTTGCTAAGATAGACTGGAATAGATTGTTCCTTTTCACAATTGCATTGGGGTTAGAAAGAACGTCACAACGCAAAGTTTAAACAGAGGATAGGAAGAACCAGACAGATCACCATGCGAGGTGGCTATAATACACCCTCAACAGCAAGTTTCTGCAGGCATTAAAGTGGTTAGGTATTCTCTGTTGATGAAAATGAAGAAAATTGGTAACCGCGCTGTCATAAAATATTTCAAGCTGAAAGGGCTAACTCCGACCGCCATCTTTGCGGACATAGTGTCAACCTTAGGGGACGATACTCCTTCGTTTGCCACTGTTAAGAGTTGGACGGCGGAGTTTCAAGGTTAGAAAGAGCCTCGACGATGTTCAAAGATCAAGAAGACCTTCAACTGCCACCACAAAGAAAAATGTTGTTATCGAAAATTATCCCCGAAAATTCTTAAAAAAGTACTAACTTTTGAAAAAAGAAGAAACTACTTGTGAAACTACATTGTTGCAAGATGTTTTTCTTAAAATTCTGGCTCCTACTTTTAAATAAAAACATATCTCGTTTTGTTTCTGTAGCTGAAAAAATCTGATCTCGCTACAAGATCCCAGCCCACCACCCCTCATCCTCTATCTCCAGATTATCAAATAGTCGGTCTCTTTCGCAGATGAGTAGTCTATTTAAAAAGGGTCCAATCTAAGACTATGTTTCTATAGAAATTGTCTTAATGGGACAACCAAATTAAGAATATGACCTCAATAAACAACACGATACGTCGTCTTAGAAGTCAACATACCACGACCAGCATATCCAGTAGGCCTTCACATAATGTAGCAGATGGACCAAATATCAAGCGACGTTTCGGTACAGGATTCATAAAATTACTTGCATCCCTACCAAAACGTTCCCTTGAAAACACCAAGAAGTTGAAATCCACAAGTCAAATACTCATTGAAGCTTTGCAGAAACCAACTTTATTTCGCTGGACAGACTGGATGTGTGTTGTGGAAAATAATATTAAAAATTGCCTTTGAGTACACAGGTAAAAATAGGGCCAATGAACTTTTGTTGAATGAGCACAGCAAATAAAACATGAGCAAAGAAATCCAGGAAAATACAAAATGCTCATTACTAAGAGTGTGTGACAATGCTTCAGGTTCCGTGGTTACTCTGGAGCCATGGACCCTGCCATCATGATGAATACCCTGATGCTTGGAGCCAATGGGATGTGTGCAAACAGAAGCTTTATCTGTGACGAACGACACAAATTTCGCACTTCTGACGGCAGCTGTAACAACATCCACAACCCCACTTGGGGGAAGTCGTTCATCCCCTTCAGAAGGTTCCTTGGACCCCAATATGATGACGGTAGGAAATATGGCTTTTTTTGTACTCTTCAAGGGTAGGCTCGTCACCTAAGATCTCTGGTTATAAAGGGTAAGTTTGTGCAGCCCATTGTTATGGCATTAAACATGATACTGCTGCCATGTTGCTAAAGTCGGCGTAAACTCTCACTTCTTTTCTGACATGGTATGAATATTATGATATTATGCATGTGATATCGCCTATGACACCGATATCAAATTTCACCATGTGATAACCATTTCCTGTTCGTTTCATTTTTAGCCACCATACTTTCTTTTTTGCGTCTGTTTATGTTGTGTCATAAAAAAAGTGTTTGTAGTTAAGGACATCTCCAACCATAACTTGTTGTTCGGGTCAGTGTTGTCTAGTATTATAGCTAAAATGGATAGAATTATCATTAAACCGCCCGCACGTTATCAGAAATGAGCGGGCCACTGTAACTTGATAATGCCCTTATATTGCTTGACGACGGGCCATTATCAAGCCCGTTGTGAGGTGACGACATAGGGTAGAGAAAGTGACGTCACGTATTAAGTGACGTCATCTGGTTTGTTCTATGACGTTTCCATGTTTGTAAAATGGGGTCAGTGACATTCGTGTTGATTGCTGTAAATGTTTCAAAACCGATGTTGTTTCTTTTTATTTGATAACAAATTCCATCCATTTTAGCTATAATAACGATAACGCTATTTTTCAGGGCATTATCATATGCAGAAGCCCTCGGTTTTTTCAGTTAATGGAAAACCTCGGGCTTCTGCAAATGATAATGCCCTGAAAATAGCGTTATCCTTATAGTAATAGAGTTTGCATGAGTAGAAATGAGCTCGTTAACGAGAAGTTGGGGTTGACCAGGATACAAACCATGCGACCCGTGAAGATGCAGGATAGAATATGTCTTCAGGAATCCATGCTTGCCGTAAATGGCGACTATGAGACTAACGGGATCGGGTGGTCAGGCTCGCTGACTTGATTGATGCAAGTCATCATATCCCAATTACGTGGATCGATGCTCATGGTGTCAATCACTGGATTGTCTGTTCCATATTCTTTTTATTTACAGACCGCCCTCATATTGCTCGAATAATGCTTAGTGCGGCGTTAAACAACAAACCAACAAACAAGCCATACTACTGTTTGCAGTCCCCTTCCGTTATATGGCTTGTATAGTCCCAAATGAGCGCAGAAGCATACTCACTGTCTCTGCATATTAGATGCGTTTTTTTCATTCTTGAATTCGATGAAAAGCATGAAACTAGATGAATGGAGCGTAAAGGAAATATAAATAATACCTGCTTGTATTATCACGCAGGAATGCGCATTCCACGTTTACGAGGTATGGGCGGAATTCCTCTTCCTAGCGCTCGCCTGGTCAGCACGACAGTCCACACGCCTGACGACAGTTATCCTGTAAGCCGCAGCATCACCAGCATGGTGATGCAATGGGGACAGTTCCTGGATCATGACATTACACTGTCGCCCATCAGAACAGGTGCGTTGGACGTCTAACTTAATCATTTAACCATAAAATATTGCCCGCTTTTTCGAACGCTCATCAGGATTTGTACTCCATCTTTTTCGACCACAATCATTTGATCTCCCCTCTATGTGAGTCTACCACAACTTCCATGCCTCTCCACAACAGTTCACCTCTACTACGCCCTCGGTGTCACTCTGCTCAACCCTCTCCACCAATCTCAGCTCAACCACCCTTTCGGCATGACTATTTTCCCCCTCTTTCACAACACACTTCTGCGCCCTCTCCACAACACTCTGCTTCGTCCTCTTTACACCGTTCTGTCCCGCCCTCTTTACACCGCTCTGCTTCGTCCTCTCTACACCACTCTGCCCCGCCCTCTTTACGCCGTTCTGTCCCGCCCTCTTTACACCGCTCTTTCCCGCCCTCTTCACAACGCTCTGCTTCGTCCGCTCTATAACACTCTGCCCCGCCCTCTTTACAACGCTCTGTCCCGCCCTCTTTACACCGCTCTACCCCGCCCTCTTCACACCGCTCTGCTTCGTCCTCTCTATAACACTCTGCCCCGCCTTCTTTACAACGCTCTGTCCCGCCCTCTTTACACAGCTTTTCCCCGCCCTCTTCACACCGCTCTGCTTCGTCCTCTCTATAACACTCTGCCCCGCCTTCTTTACAACGCTCTGTCCCGCCCTCTTTACACCGCTCTTCCCCGCCTTCTTTACAACGCTCTGTCCCGCCCTCTTTCGCGAACACCTTTGACCATCACTAAATGATAGTGATTCCTAAACATTTGTTCATGACATATTCGGAATCGTTTTTAGCAGAGATTTCTTTTGATCGTGGATATCATTTGGATGCTTATATTCCACAGGGATGAATGGAATGCCTCTGACGTGCTGCCCCGACGATGTGCCACCATTCATGAGAACCACACTCGACGTCAGCTTACGGTTGGTTCATGAATGTTTTATTACTCACCGAATATTGGTTGCTGAGGTAGTGAGTCCAGGGAAATGTCCGTGTTCGATATTCCACATCGAATTCAGGGATATGAAACGCACTTATCAGAAAGGAGGTTCGATTGCAAGTATCTGGACACTTGCATGCGTTCGAAAGAGTTGGGACAGTAACATCTTCTGATGGTTACATGTTTTCTTTGTACATTTGGCTAAGGCTTACTGATCCTTAACCACAGACCCCATGGGGAGTCATGTTTAGAGTTGGTGCTCAGAAACCTATGCTGTCCTAAGAGGCGACCGAAGGGACGGTGGTCAGACTCGGTGACTTGGAAGATTGCAATTCCCTGGTTTCCCGAGTAAAAAAGCGACAAAACCCTTTCCATATCCAATAGAAATCTCTGCATAAAGCAGAGTTGATTGTACAATTCCGACTATATCTTGAGGATGTGTTCATGAATCCCATCAAATAGTAATGATACCAGGTGTTCGCGAAAAGGTGAGCGTATCCTGCCCACCAGTGGCACCCGTCACCAACACATGCAAAGGCAAGTCAACTGTTCACCCAAAATAAATATGGGAACATATGGTACAAGTCAAAAAAGGGAATTGCATCGGACATCATTTTTGTCACCGATGCGTCAAATTAGGAAATGTCCTCCACATGTCTACCATAATATATTTTGGAAGCTTTACTGAGGGCTTGAATGTTGTTACCTTGATCAAACAACAACTTTTTCTGTAAGTTATTTGCGTATTTGCGAGAATAATTATGGGACTGTCGTCGACTTTACAAGACCCAACAGTGCAATGACCTCGACCTTCAATAACGACATATGTATGTTTTTTTTGTGCTTTTTTCTGATGACATACTTGAAGATAATCCGTTCAATTACCTTCTGTAGAGACGGGTGTTTTCCAATCCCGATTCCACTCGGTGACCGCCACTTCCGGAGTAGGTGTATGCACTTCGCCAGATCTATCCAGGCGGATAACTCCAGATGTTCTGGAAGTAAGTTTCTGAATATGCTTACTCTGTTGGATGTTTGTTCTTTATTGAGAAATTGTGCTTAACATGCCTTCTTGGCAGCTTTATCACAAGAATAGGAAAGTCTTTTTCCTTAAAAATCACAACATAACATAACATTATCACTGTTACTTTTGCCTTTGACAATACATGTCTTCATTTCTACTGTCAAATCGAGTTTTATTTATATTTAGAGGTAATGTTATAATGTTATTTACAATCGAAATAAATATGATGTATAACAGTATGTCACCGTGATTTCAGATTTCAGATTCTTTAATTATTATATATATATATATATATATATATATATATATATCGAAATAGATATGATGTATAACAGCACTGTTATACATCATATTTATTTCGATTGTAAATATATAGATACAAATTATGTCAACGCGTTAACGCGTTAACGCGTTTGCTCGTCACGCCGAAATCCCGAGTTCGATTCCCCACATGAGTACAAGGTTTGAAGCTCAGTTCTGGTTTCCTCCGCCGTGATATTGCTGGAATATTGCAAAACGAACTCGGCGTAAAACCGTACTATCTACCTCACTCAAAGTAAAGCAAGTTAACTGAACTCCGCCACTTTCATCTGTAGTACCAGCAGAACAGATGAACCAACTGACGGCGTATATAGACGCCTCCCAGGTGTACGGGTCTACGCCGGAAGAGGTGGCATCTCTTAGGATGATGGTCGGCGGTAAATATCTTGTCTCAAATATAAGACGTTTCACTAATGTCCACTACTACGGTAGAATACCAGTGTCTCGAAATCGGATGGTACTAATACCCGGTTTTGTCGAACTCACGGTCTGGCACCGTCAAATTCCTACCATATTTCTTACTATTTTAACCAGGATGTGTCGAAAACCCGGTTCTGGCGAACTCAATTCAAATTTAAAATTGTTGAAAAAACCCAACATAGCACAAGTTCGAATTTGTACTAGTACATTCATTTCAAACCCAATAATGCATATTGAGTCCTTTTCACATATGCTGAACAAACAACGTTAGGGATCATACATATTTTTGGGGATATCTTTGTGAAATTGTGTGTTCAGTTTTGACAAAAAGAAAACTATCCCTCAAAATATTTATGATCCCTGACATTTTTTGTTCAGTAAAGTATCATAATGCTTTGTTGTGTTATAATCTCAATACCAAAAGACGTTAAAAGATGGTACTTGTTGTTACCCTGTCTGGCGCTCGGCACTAAGGGGCTAAAACAAGGACTGGTCGGCTCGGAGTCAGTATACTGTGTCTGAGTGGGGTATTCATGTTAAACTGCGGCATGGTATATCAGTTGGCTAGCTATAAATCGGCATCAGTCCGGACTAGTACAAGCAGCCACACTCACACACGTGCATGCACGTCGCTATATATATCTTGGACGCGAGGTTAAACCCCATTTCACCTCACCTCACCTATAATCTGTGTTATAATTGAAGAATATCAAAGTACTTATTAATATGTTTAAGGTCTGCTGAAGATGTCACGGTTTACACTTCTTCCACGAGACAGATCCACCTTGGAGGTTTGTACGGACCAGTGCTTCAAAGCAGGTTAGTCATTACTGAGGTTTTATGCTCCTGTTAATATTTGTTGAAAATTCTGGAAGCATACCAGCAGGGACCTAGCAACTAAAAGAACACATGTTCATCTGTTCATAACGAAAACGGAGGAGTGAGGGGGTTTGGTTTTACGCCGCTCTGTACAGGAACTGTATCAAGTGATGCAGGTTTCATTGCAACTTCCGTGAAATCCCGGAACACGGATATATTGGTGACAAACCTAGAAACATAATCAAGGCGAATTTGTGGCGAATATACGCGAGATGTTTACAGTTTTCCATATATATGGGATTCTTAACCACGGTAATGGCACGTCATAGGATCGCAAATTCGCAGAACCAACTGCTGCGCCTTTGCTGACTTGTCGTCCGTATCCTCAAAAATGAAGAAAGATTGTTCACAATATAAAGCATTTTATCGAAAAGTAAAGTGACATAAACTAGTTTCTTCCGTTATTTGCTCGTTTCAATAAAAAATACCATTTTCCCTCTGCAGGTTGACTTTTGATTTATAATTACTTTTTTAATTTAAATGGTTATTAAATACGTTCGAAATACATTACATGACAGGTGATGAGCGCGTTAACGAGCAGATGGGGTTAACAAGCATACAAACCATCTTCATGAGAGAGCATAACAGAATAGCCCTGACTCTCAAGAAGATCAATCCACATTGGAATGACGAACGACTCTTTCAAGAAAGCAGGAGAATCATCGGTGCCATCTGCCAGAAGATTACTTACAACGACTTCCTTCCTCGGGTGTTGAACAGGGCAACCCTGACACAATACCGACTGAATTCCCCATCTAAGGGGTATTATAATGTATATGACAAACTCATTGACCCAAGCATAAGGAACGCTTTCGCAGCAGCAGCCTTTCGTTTCGGACACTCCTTGATAAGATCGACTGTTAGTAGGAGGCGACAGGACTTCTCTGTGAATCGTGTCGTTCGTACGCGAGACATGTTCGGTAACACTGCCATGGTAACCGCGAGCAATGGGGAGGCAGTTCATGAACTTTTAAGAGGGAAGCTGATTGACAGGCCATGCAGAGTGGACCGATTCATGTCACGGGAGGTGACAGATTTCCTGTTCATTCAAGCGAACTCCAGCCTCGATCTTGCAGCTCTGAATATCCAAAGAGGACGTGATCATGGTCTGCCCGGGTACATTTCCTTCAGGAGATGGTGTGGATTGTCAAGTGTGGTTAACTTCTTGTCGGCCCCGGGAGGACTTGTTGACCATGATGTAGAAACAACAAGACGACTTGCCGCAGTTTACAGGTAGGTGCATATCGACCGCATGTTGAGGTAGGAGCATCATCATTGTCATTGAAACCGCCTCAGTGGTCTTGTGGATAGAGCGTCTGCTCGAAGAGCGGAAGGTCGGTGTTTCGATCCCAGGACGCGTCTTACCAAACGACGTCAAAAGATGGTACTTGTTATTACCTTGCGTTTATGCTCGGAATTAAGGGCTAAAACAAAGATTGGGGTCGCGTGGGTTTCAGTGTTTAACTGTGACATTCTATCTCGGTGGGCTAGCACTATAAAACCGACATAAGACCGGACTAGTACAAGCAGACAGACACACGAACATTTAGATTACACTCTCTAAGGATTCTCTTTCAGAACAGACAGGAGCCCACTTGAATGGGGATCGGGTGGTCAGGCTCTGGTTCTCGGTTGACGTATCCTGACGGCGTGTTGTTGCTCATGCTCTCAACGGCCCGTTTGTATTTATTTCTTCTGGACCGAAATGATATACCTTAAATGTTTCTGAGCGCTGGTGCAATCAAAATAGTGCAACAGAAACGATCCGTTTATACATATAAATAGTCTACCGAAATTGGGGTGTCACGGCAACTATAAACAACTTATGTGAGATTAATATTGTTTTAGTTTGTGTTTAAATTGTGTCATGATGAATATCAAATGAAAGCTCTCTTCATAAGCTTTTAAAACATATATACTTTGTCAATGTGAGATATATACATATCTCGCAAAGAAAAACAAAAACAAAGACAACACAATTTTATGATGTCATAAAGAAATCAAGTATCTAACACAATTCATATAATAAAGAAATATAACTAGTGTAACATTAACTTTTCAATAATTAGAAATTGAATTTTCAAAACAACAAACGGTAGATTAAGTCATTTGCTGTTTGGTCAGTTTTGCAAGTATTACAGGAAGTGTATTGCAGAGGACCGAGAAACCAAAATAAAGTCTTAACTATGACCTAATATTGATGTTTTATCACACATATCATGGATCAAAGATCAGTTAACTTAGATGATCAAGAAATATAATGTCTGTGCATTGAAAGAGGTAACGCATCCTTTGTAAATATCTGTACAAAACGAATACTTTAGCAATAAAGCGTGAACATTTTGTAGGTCCCACCTGTCAGAATTTTTACTGTGATGCTTCCAAAGAACAACTTTTATTACTGAGTAATCAAATTGGTTTTCAATTAATGAGATCAAAATATATAAACACAAATGTAAACCATAGTTGCGAAATATGTTTTTAGTTTAAAGAAATCTAAATATGTAAATTTTGGTTGACCTTTATCCATATTTTGCTGATTAAGAAAAAGAAATAAAAAATCGCGTAGATGCTGATTGATAATGATATTCAAACCTCATAATCTCGAGATGATAAAACTGTACGGAAAGAACTACTGGCCATATCGGCAACTGATGATGACATGGCGGTAAATTGGGTATTACTAAGCGTCCAGGAACTAGAACATCTTGATGACATGGCGGTAAATTGGGTATTACTAAGCGTCCAGGAACTAGAACATCTTGATGACATGGCAGTAAATTTTGTAAAATTAAAAAAATTAAAACATCTTGATGACATGGCGGTAAATTTGGGAAAATTAAGAAAAGTAAAACATCTTGATGACATGGCGGTAAATTGGGTAAGCGTCCAGAAAGTAGAACATCTTGATGACATGGCGGTAAATTGGGTTAGCGTCCAGGAAGTAAAACATCTTGATGACATGGCGGTAAATTGTGTAAGCGTTCAGGAGGTAGAACATCTTGATGACATGGCGGTAAATTGAGTAAGCGTCCCTGAAGTAGAACATCTTGATGACATGGCGGTAAATTGGGGGAAGCGTCCCTGAAGTAGAACATCTTGATGACATGGCGGTAAATTGAGTAAGCGTCCCTGAAGTAGAACATCTTGATGACATGGCGGTAAATTTGGTAAGCGTCCCTGAAGTAGAACATCTTGATGACATGGCGGTAAATTGTGTAAGCGTCCCTGAAGTAGAACATCTTGATGAAATGGCGGTAAAATGTATAAGCGCTCAGGAGGTAGAAAATCTTGATGACATGGCGGTAAACTGGGTAAGCGTCCAGGAAGTAGAACATCTTGGTGACATGGCGATAAATTGGGTTAGCGTTTAGGAAGTAGAACATCTTGTGTAAAACAAATTTTGTCCCTGAAGCAGAATAAATCACAGTATATTGAACCTTTTAATCTGATGCTGATTGTGCATACTCTTCCTAACCTAATATTTGTTTGTTGTCAGTTTATTTGTTGATCAAAGCCAAAATCCATACCAGCTTTATGATAGCTGTCTGTGAATAATCAAGTCTAAAGCAGACATGCATTGACATGCAATCAACAAAGCCATCGAGTCTGACCACACGATCCATTTTGTATCGTTTGTTGGGGACCTTAATTCTTCCCACGAATCCTCACGGGCATCCATTGATGAACCATTGCAACGATTCCCCCCAAAAGAGGGAGTGGTATCTTTCAAAGCAACATTCCACCATTTATACAATCAAAAGTAAACATAGACCACGTGGAATTTCTTGCTATTGGAATTTTCAAACAATATTTAGCTGCCTCATCTTAAACACATTATCCTTAACCTTTCTTTCCCTTCATGCGTTTAAATCGAATCTAACTGATCTCCTCAGTGTCAAAACACCCACTGGGGACATTGATTACAGCACAGTGTCAAACGGTTGATTTATCATGGTTAACAAGGATACATTATGTCAACCCGACATTTATTCATTGATTGATGTTACGTGTATAAAAAACGGTGATACGATAGTTTACGTGAACAGCCCCCTGACGTCAGCCCATTATATGTACTTTATCCAGGGTAAATATTTGTCGGCGCCTTTGATTGTGCAGCGAAGCATCTTGAATCACTGATGTCACGTGTATGAAAAGCATTCAGTTCAACGTGGTGAATGGGTGATCACATTTTGGTGAAGTGAACTGAAAAGGGACTTTTGTTTAAGATGCAAAAAGACAAGATGCTGAATCACTGTGTGAATGTCACTGATTAATCTATGTGAGCTGTCATCCATAATACAAATGTTCCTCGCCATGACAGTAATGTCATTCAATATTTTATATTCCAAGCATGAGGAACCGGCGAAGAATATTTATGTGTAAAATTGAAGGTGTATATCAAGGCCGACACATGAACAGACACTTCATTTGTATACATTAGAAAACACAACAGTTGTTATTGTGTACTTGCTTGATTCTGAATATTAATTATATTGATGATATGGACTAACTGGCTTTCTGTGACAAGCCACGCGTAAAAGACAAACTAGCCGTTTTAATACGCATTAGGGTAAACAAAATAAACTCATACATTACAGTTACTGTTATTTTCAAGCTGTTGTACATTTTGGGGATGAACACCACAATTGAATTTAAGTTTTCATTTTATTTACGTAAGCCTATTTGGTCAGATGTCAGTTACATTACACACCTGTGCACTTTTAAATCTGAACGACAATCGCGAGGTGTTTTGAATTACAGGCTTAAATAAACCACAATATAACGAATAAGAAGATGATCACTGTTACTTTCCTCTTTGACTATATTTGTTCTTTGTGTGATTCCGAGAACTGTTTCCCGACATTTGACCCAACTTATAACTAATTATTATCACCCTAGACATGTGAAACTGTGAACCTTTATAATCACGTTATCAAACCTCTCAGCATTCCGCTTATTTTGAACTGGGAATAACTCAATATATCACCTGGACTAAAGGTAGTTTCAGTATGTTAAATATTTATATATTTATAATAATATAAATAATAAAAATAATGCCATTTTTATTGCGTTATGTTTTTGCACCACACAGGGAATGCTCATACTACCGGGTACCAATTCACTGATTGATGTACAGAGGCATATTTCGAACAAAGTCACATGCCCTTGAAGACACCTCATGTGCTGCACGTACGTCAGTATCGGGCGGAAATTGTTAGTTGATACATAATTGAAAAAGTTTTACATTTGTTTCGCTTTTATTTATATTTCAATGAAGTTTTCTTTTAAAATTCTAGACATCCTGCAGATATCGATTTATTCACCGGGGGTCTGTCAGAACGACCCCTCAGAGGGAGTTTGGTGGGACCCACGTTAAGCTGTCTTCTCGCCCACCAGTTCTCCGCATTGAAGAAGGGAGACAGATTCTGGTTTGAACTGAATCGTCCTCACACTCGCTTTTCTCCCGGTGAGAAGCATTAAGTATCAATTCTCATTATGTATCCTCGCCTGTTACTTTCATCTTCCTCACGTGGTTGGTCATCCATCAACAAATGAAACTCTGGGATAGACAGATGGTCACTCACGACTGAAAAGTTGAATGCCAAGCGTGTAATATTTTGCTTACAACTCAGCTTTTCAATCAAAGTTTTACCATCTAAGGTCTGGTTAGGTCATTCCAGGAATGATGTGTAATGGTAGACATTCCATGGAGTTTTCTAAATGTGGCACGTTGCTTGTCATCATGATGCCCGATTCTATCCAATACTATCACCCTTACGCGGAATTTTCACACCTCCTTATAAACTGGCAGATACTAATAAAATGAAACAGATTTCAAGTCAAAATGATGATGAAAGTTATGAATGGATCATTGAAAATCAGTGATAACTCAAGTGTTCGCGGAAAGGGTTAGTATGCCCTGCTCTACCTGTAGCACCTGCTAATTACAAAATTTGGATATAAAGAAAGTGTGTGTTGCCTAACGCCTGCACAACTCATACAGACCATTTGACGACATTCCGTAACTATTTCCGAGTTGTTTAGCACTTCTAAATCACCAATCCGAAATATGTCCTGTTCACAGCCCAACTCCAAGAGATCCGTAGAAGCAGCCTGTCTCGCCTCCTCTGTGACAACACCAACACCTTCCACGTGCAGATAGACGCCTTCAAAACCATATCTGGAAGGTAGGTCACGTGTAAACACATGTGTAAAATGCATGTCGGTGGTGGTTCCGAGTGGAACAATATGGAACACCACATGGCCACACCTTGCCTACGTTTTGTGTGTCGTGGTTCAGGCAGGTAATTGAAAGATGAGCAGTTTCCACAGCGCAATTTAGTTGGTGTTCAGAGTCTCGGAGAGTGGCTGTGTGGGTGACAGCGATTGGCAGTTGGACTCCTGAGAGTTTCTAGGGCTTCGGTTCTGCCCCTCACTGAATCACATGTAGCTCATGTAGTGTCTTCTTAGGAAATTGAACTTGTTCGAAATGTGCCTCTGTTCACTCAGCAGCAAATGGGTACCCGGTAGTATGAGATGGTAATGTGGTTGTTAACCCTCTAACGCCTCAAAGGCAGCATGGGTTGTACTGAGTGCACACTGGTCCATTTTTGGGGTAATAATATAGGGCTTTGAGCACGCTTTAGGGTGTGGAGTTGGCGCATTATAAGAAGCACATTGAAATGTCTGGTAGTGAAAGATGCTATTCATATATATAATATGAAAAGATGCGTACACTACATGTACTGACTATGGCATTGAGAAATATTTTGATGGTTTTGAGACAGTAAAGTAGACATTGCCTTAAATGCAGAAACTTGTTTATTTTTTCCTAACAAATATGTCAATGTGGAACATTTCTGTGGGCGTCGGCGATCACCAGGGTTGAACTACTTTCTTAAAATGAACGGAACCCCGATATTTACTCATTCCCTCCTCCTAAGCTGTTAAATAACTGAAATACTGTTCAAACACGCATAAAATCAAACTCGTTCTGGTGATAGCCTTGCAGTTAAGGCGTACGTCTATCCCGTCATTCTTATACGGGGCGGTCGGGTAGCCTCGTGGTTAAAGCGTTCGCTCGTCACGCCGAAGACCCGGGTTCGATTCCCGACATGGGTACAATGTGTGAAGCCCATTTCTAGTGACCTCCGCCGTGATATTGCTGGAAGATTGCTAAAAGCGGCGTAAAACCATACTCACTCACTCATTCTAATACGTATCAATCCCTGTGGTGTCCCTATCGTGTAAAAGAAATGGTCAACTCTGCGTTTCCAGAAATCCCCGTGTGTCCTGCTTCAGCCTCCCCAGGCTTGACCTCACAAAGTGGCAGGAACTCCACGGCGGCTTGCCAGGACATGGTGTGTGGCCAAGATGCTTTGTGGGGCACCATCTCTTCCCAATAGTGAAGGTGTGCTTACCCTGGGGTCACGGCTGCTGGGGGGCGGTCAAGCACTGGAAACCGTGTCACCCTGTATTGTAACTAGGTTGAACGTTCGTGAGCGAGAATATGGTGTAAAACATGCCACAATGAGCACAAGAATAAACAAAACAAGGTTGTAGCAATTGCTTTGTCTTTTCATACTCGACAGGGTGCGTGTGCAGCTTTTTTCGGATGGACGACATGTGTACTAAATTTATATCAAGTTACGTACGTAAACGCCTATATCATGCATGTCTATAAATATGCAATGGGAAGTGAAAAGATTTGACATGCCTCTCATAAAACATATCTTTTCATGATAATTATCTTCAGTGTCACATGCAGTGCCAACTTTAATGCTATTTGACCCGAGGCGTTACACCACTACTCCTGTAATTTATTTACCTCTGTGGTTTGTATTTTAATGTTGTCTCTACAACTTTAAATGTTCCCTGTCATACGGTAAATGCCATTTTCCCCAATTGTGCAATCATTTCTGCATATAGGAAGGGTGACTAGAAGGTTCCGAGCCTAACTACAAAGAGTGTAAAGTACTCCCTTAACAGTTTGCATGTATTGAGAACAATACTGTCACCGTTCACATGCTGTATTTGAACTAAATAGACGACACGGCAGCATATGTATGCGGGCGTTAAAGTGGTGACTGGGTATAGTATGTTGGTGAAAATTGGATATAATTGGTTACCGTGCTGTCACTGCGTATATCCAATTGAAACTCCTACAGCCATCCATGGTGTCAACTTTAGGGGATGATGCTCTTTCACTGTTAAGAGGTGGACGGCGGAGTTCAAGAGGGGAAGAGAGTGCCTCGAAGTTGATACACGATCAAGAAGACCTTCAGCTACCAGGGCATGATAGATGTTTGAGCACTCTGGGTTCCAAGCTTCTGACTCCTGATCAGAAACGCTCCAGATTCATCATATCTCTGAGAATTACGTCGTTTTAAAGCAGACCCAGCTTATGTTGTTGAGCGATTTGTTAGTATGGAACTGTCATGGGTTCACCACTATCAGCCAGAGACTAAACAAAAGTCAAAGCAGAGAAAATATCTAACGTCTCCTTATCCGAAGAAGGCAAAGTCTGTTCCGTCAACTAGGATGGGGATGGCTTCGGTTTTCTGGGGTTCCAAAGGAATCCTCCGGGTAGACAACATTCCGAAAGCACAGCCCAGTAATTGTCAATATTATGCTTATATACTTAGGCAGCTGCAAAGGTACATCAAGGCTTTCTGCCTGCCTGTGGACGAAAACTATGTACACTCGTGAATTCTAAAGGTACACGCAATTGGGGATTGACGAACTTTTCTTTGGTTTCCACGTGACCTGCATGTACATTGAAGTTTCCACATGACGTGTATACCAAGTGGCCTGTATAAACATTGTTGTTTCCACACAACGTGTATACCAGGTGACCTGTATGTACATTGAAGTTTCCACATGACGTGTATGCCAAGTGACCTGTATATACATTGAAGTTTCCACATGACGTGTATACCAAGTGACCTGTATATACATTGAAGTTTCCACATGACGTGTATACCAAGTGACCTGTATGTACATTGAAGTTTCCACATGACGTGTATGCAAAGTGACCTGTATATACATTGAAGTTTCCACATGACGTGTATACCAAGTGAGCTGTATGTACATTGAAGTTTCCGTATGACGTGTATGCCAAGTGACCTGTATATACATTGAAGTTTCCACATGACGTGTATACCAAGTGACATGTATGTACATTGAAGTTTCCACATGACGTGTATACCAAGTGACCTGTATGTACATTGAAGTTTCCACATGACGTGTATACCAAGTGACCTGTATATACATTGAAGTTTCCACATGACGTGTATACCAAGTGACCTGTATATACATTGAAGTTTCCACATGACGTGTATGCCAAGTGACCTGTATGTACATTGAAGTTTCCACATGACGTGTATACCAAGTGACCTGTATATACATTGAAGTTTCCACATGACGTGTATACCAATTGACCTGTATATACATTGAAGTTTTCACATGACGTGTATACCAAGTGACCTGTATATACATTGAAGTTTCCACATGACTTATATGCCAAGTGACCTGTATATACATTGAAGTTTCCACATGACGTGTATACCAAGTGACCTGTATATACATTGAAGTTTCCACATGACGTGCATACCAAGTGACCTGTATGAACATTTAAGCTTCCATTTGACTGTACGCTTACGAGTATGTTTAGTCAAATGTTCAAGTGCCATGTATGTACAGTCCCTGATTCTTAGAATATGCTTGTCGTAAATAGATGATGAATGACTAAAGTTGATCTCCCACATGGACTGGACTGATTGTGTGTCATCGCACCCCGACGGCGCGATCTGGTTTGTTTGATTCAAACGCGAATATCGTTAGGCCGACGACATATAGTTTGAATATTGATGACTGCGGAGTAAAACAAAATTGGCTCACAAAGTAGTACAAGGATATTACAAGTGGTCCTCGATTAGCATTGTCAAGGACATCCCAAAAATGCAAATATCCACCAAATAAAGCGTCAGCATTAACAAAAAAATCTGCACATCAACGTCAAGATCAGATTTAACGGACTTTATGCCTGAAAGGTGCACAATAATGTTCGTAATTAAGATGTCACAAACAGCCAACTAAAATGAAGATTAATTGAGGATGTTAAGCACGACCTCTTCCCTGTCTTGCACACAGACGTGTCGTGTCATGTTCAAGTCAGTCTGAAGGTAGCAGTGCAAGGTAAGACATGTTACATCTCAAACGCATAAACTACGGTGATACGAAATTAGTTAAACTGTTCTGAAAGTTATCAGAAGTGTTCATATATTTTTCACAAGTTGCATGTCCGTTTTTACTTTCCTTTTTCATAAAAAAATTAGAATCAGAAATCCATAGCTTATGTACAAAGGTTTTCAGCCTCGTCCAAAGGTTGTTCATTTCTTTCTATTATTTTTGCAGATTATATTATCATATTCTCAAGGAAAGTTGGTGACATGCAAAAGCAAATTAATGTATTAAGTATTGTGCAAATTAAAGTAACTGTGATAAATTGAAACTTGATGTTAACAGAGTCAAAACTAAACTTATTGTATTAAAAAATAGTTGTTAACTTGCCACAAATTAGATTAAATTGCCATTTAGAGATTCCAATATTAAACAACGAAATTAAAAACTTATTTGAAACAGAAATTGAGCGTGAAGAAATTTCATTTGTTGTTTAAAACATGAAAACAATAAAAGTTCCGTTTTGATGGCTTTCTTATTGAACTTTTACTCAATTAAATATATATGCACAGATTCGTGTCATTTGAAGAACTGAAACTAAAATATCAGATAACAGGTTCATTTAATTTTCAATATACCAGTCTCATGGAAAAGAACATTCAAGAAAAGTAGAAAAATTATATTACAGACTATGTATGTAAAAAGTTGCTTAAATGATCTGATGAAACCTGTTAAAGGCGCTGAACTCTTTTATGATAAATTAAAATCAACTGAATATAATTTTAAAGTTTGTGATAAATGGCATACATCTTTTGACTGTGAGTTTAATTATAGATGTACACTGAAGGATGTAAAACTTTTAGAATTTCAATCGAATTTCTACATAGAATTATCTACACAGAAATGAACTATTAACAATGGATCTTGTAGACAACAGAGTATGTAGCTTTTGTAATGCTGTGAGTGAGGACATCAGCCATGTCTTTTTGGAATGTAATGAAACTAAATTATTTTGGAATGATATCGAACTTTGGCTTAACAATTATCTTTCACAAAATATTTGATTAACAAAATATCTTATTTGGCTGGTTATTAACTATTCTCATACATTAATCAAGCCCATACCTTTATTGGGGAAAAGGCAATATTCATATGTGTGGCTTCAAAGGAATCAAACCGAAAGCAGATATACTTTTAAAGCTAATTAAAAAACATATATTCAATCGAGAAATTTATTGCTATTAAAATGAATGACAACAATTACTTTAACAAAAAATGGTCACTTTAAGTCTCAGCATTTGATTCTTAGCTCTTTGTTGATACATGCCATGTTTGTGTCTGATTGTGTGTTGCATCCTTTTTAGTTGGAAATGTGCTAATGTTTGTTTCAAAACTTTTCAATTTTTAAGAATTTATTGCCAAAAATGAAAAATGGTCCTTTAAAGGATGCAACTACACATTATACGTATTTGGATGTTCAATAACAATCTAAATTGGTTTGTACAAATAAAGAAGCGTTAGTCAAGACCAAAAAGGTTTTCCTTGGTATATAATGAAGAATATACAAATTCTTTCAAGTTGCAAGTAATGATTTTTTATGTTAAAATTACTACAAGTATACTTAACGGTGCTGAAAAGCAGGGAATAAATCAATCCATTGTTATGAAAAGGTTCACGTGTATGCATGTAAAAGATTTCTAGGTGTGAAAAGCAATTCATCTAGCGCAATGGTTTATGGCGAATGTGGTATATTTACCTTTTTTATATATTAAAAAGTTTAAAAGCTAAAAGCTCTAAAGCTACTGGCTGAAACTCGATAAAATGAATTTATCGAGATACACAAAGAAACGTGTCAATATGATGATGTTATGTGATATGAATCTAATGGGGATAATAACTGGGTAACTGATGGGGAAATGATGTTTGGTATGGACAATCTGTTTAATTTGAAAGTGCACTATCCAACATTGATTTATATGATAGAATGTTGAAAACACATATATGTGTGTACTGAACAGCATCAGTGGGATGTAAATATAAACAAATATCGTAATTCATTGGCCAGACTTCGGTGTTCATCACATGATCTATCCTTCAAGAGTGGGCGAAATACAAAACGACCAAGGTGAAAACGATTCTGTAAAACGTGTAATATCAAAGTTATAAAGAATTAATATACATTTTTCATGTATGTCCATCTTACTCCACAGTGAGGAAAACATATATTCCTGTATATTACTTTAATGAATCAAATATTGTGGAATTTAAACAACACAAAGCATGTTCATATATATATATATATACTATGCACTGTTATATAGAACCGAATTTGTAAATAATAGTTAAAATTGTGTGGAGCACCTCTGTGATACATGCCATAGGCCTGTGGCCCCTTAAGTGCTTGAATAAAGATTGATTGACAGTTTGCATGCTATTATCATATACATAACCATGATTTTAGGGGAAAACGTAGGTACCGCCAGCACACATATATACATAGGTACTAACTAGAACCAGAAATCCTTCTGTAATTGATCATTCCATACATAATAAAGGCACAGTGATAAATACAGTAATACCAGTTGTCGGTCATACGTACATCTCCAATATCTTTCAAAACAATAAAAAACAGCCCTTGAAATACCTCAGCCTTTGCAAAATATGCATTTTTCACCTTTCATTGGCTGTTTTTTTCTCCATTTTACACAGATTTGATGACGTTGAAAGTTGAAAAACAATAAATTAAACCTCAACATATCGGACATGCTACAAACAATGACAGTTATCGTGTGAGATAAATGATTAAGTTGTTTTCGTCGTTTTGTCAGACATTCACACATTATACATGTCTTGTAGCTCTCATTAAAGATGGTGTCTAGCGCCTGGAGATGGGTCCTCTGGGCGTTTACTTCCGGTTTTGTACTCGTGACGTCACAGCCACCTGGCGGTAAGCTGACTTCCTCAACACATGTCACATGTATTTCCTGGTAAAAAACTTTATAAGACACAATTACGAGCCAACACCAACAGACAGGGCCTCGGGTTTATTTAAATTAAAAAGCCAAATGCATTTATATTTTATAGGTGAGGTGAAATTGGGTTTAACGTCGCGTTCAAGATTATTGCACTTATATAGCGACGTGCATGCACGTGTGTGTGGCTGCTTATACTGATGCCTAGACTGATGCCGATTTATAGTGCTAGCCCACTGATATACCATGCCGCAGTTTAACATGAATATCCCACTCAGACACAGTATACTGACTCAGAACCTACCAGTCCTTATTTAAGCCCCTTAATGCAGAGCACCAGACAGGGTAACAATGAGTACCATCTTTAACGTCTTTTGGTATGAAGCGGCCGGGGATCGAACCCCGGACCTTCCGCTCTCCGGGCCGACGCTCTACAACTAGACCACGGAGGCGGTATATTTGAGTCATGTGTAATGTGTAAAAAGCAATACAACATGACATGCATAACCCTACGCTATCCGATATGGGACGTTAGTTAAATTACAAACAACAGGACAATAAATTGACTTAAAATAGAATCATCAGATTTAACTACAAAAAAACCCCAAGCCATTAAGCGAAAATTACCATCTACAGCCTCAACAGCCACAACCCATGTATTCAACATGTTCACAGTTTCAGAATACTGAGTTACAACTTGTTCATTATTAATTAATTGTTTTAGTCTTTTCGGGATATTCCGAAATGAGGCTAATGATATTGGTATTCTACATTTGTTTTGGATTATTTTTGAAACAGAAACGTTGGTTGTGCAATACTGTCAGTATCAGTAACACGGCCTGAATGTTTTTTATTGTATTTACCGCAGACACGGGTGGGGCGGATCTCACCAGCCGACAGTTTGCCGCCTTTGTCGGAGGTCGGGACCCCGTTGTGCAGGCGGGACAAACATTTCTGAGTCTAAGGGATGGAAGGTGAATCTACGATTCCATTATTCCCTCGTCTTGGCCTTTGCACTTCAAATCGAAAATAATTCAGCTACTCGTTATGACAGTTACATCTCGACATGTTACATGACTGTACTGACTACCGCGGTTACATCTAGATATGTTACATGTACTGACTACCACAGTTACATCTCAATGTGCTACATGTACTGACAACAGCGGTTACATCTAGATATGTTACATGTACTGACTACCACAGTTACATCCCAACGTGTTACATGTACTGACTACCGCGGTTACATCGAAATATGTTACATGTATTGACTACCACAGTTACATCCCAACGTGCTACATGTACTGACAACCGCGGTTACAACTAGATATGTTACATGTACCCACTATCACAGTTACATCTAGATATGTTACATGTACTGACTACCACAGTTACATCCCAATGTGCTACATGTACTGACAACAGCGGTTACATCTAGATATGTTACATGTACTGACTACCACAGTTACATCCCAACGTGTTACATGTACTGACTACCGCGGTTACATCTAGATATGTTACATGTACTGACTACCACAGTTACATCCCAATGTGCTACATGTACTGACAACAGCGGTTACATCTAGATATGTTACATGTACTGACTACCACAGTTACATCCCAACGTGTTACATGTACTGACTACCACAGTTACATCCAACGTGTTACATGTACTGACTACCGCGGTTAAATCCGAACGTGTTTAATGTACTGACTACCACAGTTACAACCCAACGTGTTACATGTACTGACTACCGCGGTTACATCTAAATATGTTACATGTACTGACTACCACAGTTGCATCCCAACGTGCTACATGTACTGACAACCGCGGTTACAACTAGATATGTTACATGTACTCACTATCACAGTTACATCTAGATATGTTACATGTACTGTCTACCACGGTTGCATTCCAACGTGTTACATGTACTGACTACCACAGTTACACCCCAACGTGTTACATGTACTGACTACCGCGGTTACATCTAGATATGTTACATGTACTGACTACCACAGTTACATCTAGATATGTTACATGTACTGACTACCGCGGTTACATCTAGACGTGTTACATTTACTATCTGCTACAGTTACACCTCAACGTGTTCCATGTACTGACAACCACGGTTACAACTCGATGTGTTACATATAATATCTTCCTAAGTTACACCACGACGTGTTAAAATGTATTGGCCACCACAGTTACATCTCGACATGTTACATGTTCTGACTACCACAGTTACATCTCGACATGTTACATGTATTGACTACCACAGTTACATGTCGACATGTTGCCTGTTCTGACTACCACAGTTACATCTCAATATGTTACGTGTATTGACAACCACAATTACATCTCGACATGCTACATGTAGAGACTACCATAGTTACATGTCGACGTGTCACATGTATTGACTACCATAGCTACATGTCGATGTGTTACATGTTCTGACTACCATAGTTACATATCGACGTGTTACATGTTCTGACTACCACAGTTACATCTCAATGTGTTACATGTTCTGACTACCATAGTTACATGTCGACGTGTTACACGTTCTGACAACCACAGTCACATCTCGACATGTTACATGTATTGACTATCAAAGTAACATGTCGACGTGTTACACGTTCTGACAACCACAGTTGCATCTCAATATGTTATGTGTTTTGACAACCACAGTTACATCTCGACATGTTACATGTATTGACTACCATAGCTACATGTCGATGTGTTACATGTTCTGACTACCACAATTACATCTCAATATGTTATGTGTTTTGACAACCACAGTTACATCTCGACATGTTACATGTATTGACTACCATAGCTACATGTCGATGTGTTACATGTTCTGACTACCATAGTTACATATCGACGTGTTACATGTTCTGACTACCACAGTTACATCTCAATGTGTTACGTGTATTGACAACCACAGTAGCATCTCGACATGTTAGATGTATTGACTACCGCAGTTACATCCCAACGTGTTACATGTACTGACTACCACAGTTACATCTCGACATGTTACATGTATTGACTATCATAGTTACATGTCGACGTGTTACATGTTCAGACTACCACACTCACATCTCGACATGTTCCACCAGTATCAAACTGGCGTGCTATTATCAAAACTTATTCATATGTATAATATACCCTTCTTTGTTTATATACCATTGACACTAGTACTGGATGATAAACATGAGTAACGTATTATTACGTTACTATTATTTATTGCCACGAGAATTTTCTTTAAAAATAAGTTTGCAATCGCCAATTTTAGCATCCGAAGTTTCATGTACATACAAGTTTCATTTTCAGACATACTGAGGAAAACAAATAAGGGAACAACACTTCATCGCAGTCGTACATCATTTATTCCCAAATGTACCCACAGTGCAATACAAAGCTTACATAGAAACCTGGAAAAGAATAGATGAAAATGTGCATTTTCATGTATTCCCTTAATGTTTTTCTCAGAATATTTTGAGACATTAATGCATATTTACACTGAAGCTTTATTTTATACTTGCAGGGCGCTAGCCGGAGATGCCATGATAAATTATACTGATTACTTCTGTAACCCGGTGCAAGAACCGTGTAGCGTATGGAGCCCTTACAGAACTCCCAACGGCGTCTGTAACAACTTGGCCTTCCCGAGATGGGGATCGGCTCCAACTCAAATGAGACGTTTTCTACAACCTGTTTACGAAGATGGTAGGTTGGAACACTGGCGTCAAGTTCTATGAGTCCTGAAATGGCGGACAATCAGAGCAACAGTTCAGAGATTGAAGAATTCATGGGCCTATATTCCTCGCCTCTTGAACTAGAAGCACGAAATATCGCGATTATTAATTAACGAAGATAGTTGCATGTGTGTTTATACTTACAAACAAGTCATTCCGGCGATAAGGAATATTACTTACAGTAATGACAAAAATTGCAAAGTGCGCTTTTCGAGAAATACTAGTATCCATTTTGCTAGCGATAAACATCATCATTGTTGATTTCAAACCAGGTAAGGACCCCTCAGTCAGGTGACTGCGTGTGTTTATTTTTAACGTCTCGAGCTATCCCTATAACGCTGTACGTACATTACCATAAAAACCGACCGCCTCCGTGGTCTAGTGGTAGAGCGTCGGCCCGGAGAACGGAAGGTCCGCGGTTCGATCCCCGGCCGCGTCATACCAAAGGACGTAAAAAGATGGTACTTGTTGTTACCCTGTCTGGCGCTCGGCATTAAGGGGCTAACAAGGACTGGTCGGCTCGGAATCAGTATACTGTGTCCGAGTTGGGTATTCATGTTAAACTGCGACATGCACTATACATTGGCATCAGTCCAGATGCACGCACTGCTTACCATAACCGGTCAGCGGCTCGCTTCGTAACATATGCAACCGTCTTCGTTAATTATATAATCGTGATATTTCTGATATCTAGTTTAATAAGCGAGGACCATACCTTTGGAGTTGGTGCTGGCGCATTTATTCATTTATTGAACATTGTAAGTTGGTATGGCTTTACTATTGCCGCAATACCCCCACCCAAATAGCTCCCGATGACATCGATAATGTTTCGGATGAGCAATGAAAGTCTGGTGTTAGAATGACGGGTCGCCGGTAGTCTACCCCCGTAGTGGCTTAAGATGCTGATGATACAGAAATTTAATATCAAGAACAATTTCACAGTGTAACAAATACTAGATAAATTGAGAGTTATGTCCCTTTTGGAAGTCCCTGGCTGAAGCGCCAAACGTATTTTTACAATGCTTTTTTTAATGTCCTCTACCTCTATATTACTGCAGCTCTGATAACATGTTCTGAGTGAGTGAGTTGGGGTTATCGCCGCTTTGAACAGTATTCAAGCTTTGAAGAAGCCCCAAGTGATGCAGGTCTCAGACTCTTACCATTTTGGTGAAACCGACGAGCATGGGTATGGTACTGACCAACATAGAAACATGATCGGGGTGAACCGGGATTCGAAACCTCAATTACATGTTTCTGGCATGCCCATGGGATGACATGTTCTGTGATGTGTGGTGACAGAAGTCCTTTCGTCATTCAGGCATAAGTCTTCCCCGGACAAGGAGTGTGACTGGTGCTGCCCTTCCGAGCGCGCGTTTCATTAGCTTGATTGTCCACGTCACTGAGGACCCCGACGACATCCCCAAGTACCGGGACATCACCCACATGCTTATGCAGTGGGGTCACATCACCGATCACGACATCACCCACTCACCAGTGCAAACACGTGAGTGGACACATTCTACATCAATACCTAAACTTATAAAGTTTTATTCTTGTATAGGAAGCCACATATATAATGTGTGACCTGTGAAAGATGTGTGCTATTAATTCTTAACCTGCATCAGGGACAAAACCGATAAATCACGGACTTTTTATTCCGAGGATTTTATATCTCATGAAGCCCCGATCTAGTGTTCATTAATCTAAAATATGACGCTTGCAGTTTAAATTACCTCAGACTGTTGGATAAATATATTGAGGGGAAAGGAAAGAATACCGGGTTTGTCTTTTATGTAATTGAAAATTGAAAGAACTGTTGTTAAATTTGATTACGTCCAGTTAACTATCACTCATTCATGCAACAGTTTGTAAAAAGTCATCATCGGTTCAATGTTGACTGGTGTTAGAAATGACTATACCAAATTTGAAAAGTTGTGCGTTTCTTAATAAACATGCAAATTTATTGCTTTTCAAAGATAAGATGTCTAAGATACACAACAACACTTGTGTGTTATTCGAAGATTCTTTTCTTATTTTTTCAGGTTTCAAATAAAATAATATAAGGATGTTTAAGGACAGAAATGAAACTCAGCACTGTTATTATCCCCTAAATATTCGAAGATTTTTTTCTTAATTTTTAAGGTTTCAAATAAAATAATATAAGGATGTTTAAGGACAGAAATGGATCTCAGCACTGTTATTATCGCCTAAATATTCGAAGATTCTTTTCTTATTTTTTCAGGTTTCAAATAAAATAATATAAGGATGTTTAAGGACAGAAATGGATCTCAGCACTGTTATTAACCCCTAAATATTCGAAGATTCTTTTCTTAATTTTGAAGGTTTCAAATACAATAATATAAGGATGTTTAAGGACAAAAATGGAACTCAGCACTATTATTATCTCCTAAATATAGTTTTTTAATGTGAAGTTTACACGATATATGGCTTTTCCGTCAGTCATACGACAGCGAAACTGATGTTCATAAGTGTATGAACGGCACATTTTGACGTTTATTCGTTTTTCACGATGTTTTATTTTTGAAATGACGGACTACTTCCACATTCCTGGGCCAATCTATCATATTTCAATTGCATCAATACATACAGAACCGTTGTTTCTGATCGTTTTAGACCCTTTAATCTTGAACTCAGCATTTTAGCATACATTGAGAAACCTTAGAGAGTTTGACAGCATGATCGACAGCATGATCGACTGCACACATATCCTCGCTACGACTCCTCCTCATTAGCAAAGAAATGCACATCCAAACTATGGTTGTTTCGTCTCGATCCGTATCTAGACTGGCAGTGACATTCCACGGCAATATATGAATTTACCTTAGTATCTATTTAACATATCTTTATAATCACCTTTTAATGATCAGACAATTGGTGTCGGCCATTTTAACGTCTTGGATTCGACGTGCTGTCATTGTGATTGACTTAGATAGTTTTCAAAAGACCTTTCTCATCTAATGATATTATTTGAATACATTTATTGTGACAAAACTACAAAACATGATCCTGTTGCATCTCATTTTGTGGAACCATTTTCTTCCGCGATACAGATGGTTGTTGCATGTCTGTCAGTGTTAACATGAAGTCACTTTAAATAGAATTGTGTATATATCTAGCGCTACATCCCTCGAAGTAAAAAAAGGTTATATAAAATTTATAAGATTTGACTTTCAATTTGTATGAAGGTTCATACTCCAATGAACTCACACTAAGTGAAAGTCAATTCTTAAGTAAATGTTATTTTATGTTTAAACTTCAACGTAAGACTGAAACCTCGTTTGTGACACCATTTTCTCGAATAAGATGCTTATCGCATACTCTTAACATTGAACAGGGAAGATACACACACTTATTAAAAGAACATTAGGTTTAAATGCAATATTAAGGAAGTAGAACATGAGTACAACTCTGAATGTCCACTAAATGATAATTTGCATATTAAATATCTATCGTCTAAAATGTACGAACCACCAAGTATTTTCAAGTTCATTGTACCAATGTCTTCCCACAATATCAAGGTGTTAAAGCTTGTGAGATCATATGTATTTTATGCAATGAATTATAGAAAAAGTATGCAAAAGGATTAATTAATAATATGTATGTTACATTATCCAAACAATCTGTACAATAGGGCTGTTTGCTTTCAGTATATGTGTAAAGGAAGACTGATCGAGTGATATTGGATTCAGTGTTAGCCATTCCTTCACCTCAAAGTCATCATCATTTCCATTCAAGGGTATTAAATTGAATAAACTTCAGATTAAGAGACCAGAAGTAATATCTTTATTCATATACGGTTTGTGGCCCTGATACCGTTTATATCTGATGATTATATAGAGGATATTTTACATGTCGAGTGAAATATCATGTTTTTCTCATCGAGTGACGAGGAAAAAATATCCCCTTTTCACCCGTCACGAGATGAGAGAAACATGATATTTCACCAGACACATTGACTATCCTATTTATTATAAGCTTTTTTGTGTAGTTCTCTACTGGAAAATTAAATTGTTTCATTAGAAATGTAAAACCTTGAAGCGCGAATTCTCTCTACCTAACACACAGCGACGATTCACCACCCCTTGTATTTGCGACTTAAAAAGTAGTTTCGTGTTTGCAAAATCATAAATAATATAAACCATAGGATAAATAAAATGTTTAGGTTCATGAAAATTCTTTTATATTCATGAAGATATGATTATATGCAAAAACTGAAAACTGGGAGTCTCTTGAACACTAGGAGACAGCTGTTGGAAGCGAAAGCAAACGCGTTGGTCAAGTAGCACAAGGGAGACAATTTAATAAGAGGCAACTCTTGTATGACAATAGTTCCGTCAAAGTTTTATGTTCACTGCTATGAAAATATCACTTTTCTCAACTTCACAAACTCAGTCTTTCACACTGAAGTATATAATAAAACATATTTCATACACATGACGTGCGTTCAACTCACTGTGCAGTGTACGTGGAGAAAACAGTGTTTGGGTTATATTTAAAAAAATCATATGATAATGCCCGTATATACAGAACAAAAAAGGTCAGGGACCATGATTTTTTTTGGAGACCTTTATGAAATTGTGTGCTCAGTCTTCAACAAAATATGCCAATCATTCACGATTCTAACCTTTTTGGTTCAGTATATCATAAACATTCTACATATCGGATGCCAATAGCCATGCTTGTCTTTATCACAAATAAGTGTAAACTACATGTACGTTCGTTTCAGGCCCAAACAGACGACCATTGTTAAGTGTGAACTACACGTACGCTTTACGTTCGTTTCAGGCCCAAACAGACGGCCATTGTTAAGTGTGAACTACACGTACGCTTTACGTTCGTTTCAGGCCGAAACAGACGGCCATTGTTAAGTGTGAACTACACGTACGCTTTACGTTCGTTTCAGGCCCAAACAGACGGCCATTGTTAAGTGTGAACTACACGTACGCTTTACGTTCGTTTCAGGCCGAAACAGACGGCCATTGTTAAGTGTGAACTACACGTACGCTTTACGTTCGTTTCAGGCCCAAACAGACGGCCATTGTTAAGTGTGAACTACACGTACGCTTTACGTTCGTTTCAGGCCCAAACAGACGGCCATTGTTAAGTGTGAACTACACGTACGCTTTACGTTCGTTTCAGGCCCAAACAGACGGCCATTGTTAAGTGTGAACTACACGTACGCTTTACGTTCGTTTCAGGCCCAAACAGACGGCCATTGTTAAGTGTGAACTACACGTACGCTTTACGTTCGTTTCAGGCCGAAACAGACGGCCATTGTTAAGTGTGAACTACACGTACGCTTTACGTTCGTTTCAGGCCCAAACAGACGGCCATTGTTAAGTGTGAACTACACGTACGCTTTACGTTCGTTTCAGGCCCAAACAGACGGCCATTGTTAAGTGTGAACTACACGTACGCTTTACGTTCGTTTCAGGCCCAAACAGACGGCCATTGTTAAGTGTGAACTACACGTACGCTTTACGTTCGTTTCAGGGCCAAGCAGACGGCCATTGTTAAGTGTGAACTACACGTACGCTTTACGTTCGTTTCAGGCCCAAACAGACGGCCATTGTTAAGTGTGAACTTCACGTACGCTTTACGTTCGTTTCAGGCCCAGACAGACGGCCATGTTTAGTGTGAACTACACGTACGCTTTACGTACGTTTCAGGCCCAAACAGACGGCCATTGTTAAGTGTGAACTACACGTACGCTTTACGTTCGTTTCAGGCCCAAACAGACGGCCATTGTTAAGTGTGAACTTAACGTACGCTTTACGTTCGTTTCAGGCCCAGACAGACGGCCATTGTTAAGTGTGAACTACACGTACGCTTTACGTTCGTTTCAGGCCCAGACAGACGGCCATTGTTAAGTGTGAACTACACGTACGCTTTACGTTCGTTTCAGGCCCAAACAGACGGCCATTGTTAAGTGTGAACTACACGTACGCTTTACGTTCGTTTCAGGCCCAAACAGACGGCCATTGTTACAAGATTGCTGTCTGGAAGGAGCCGCTGCCGCCGCGGCCGGCTCACTTCCTCGAGGGTAGGTATGAACATGAGTTCTCAATATTGCAAGGACCAGTCAAATCACAGCAGGGTTATGTTTTTATATAAATATTATTTGATGTTACAAAGGAATATGTGAAGATAACCTGTTGAGATTGGTATTGTCAAGAAAGAGGTATGCTAAACGCTGCGTTTCTGAACGTCACAACAACGGTTGAGGTAACAAATGTTATATTTGAGATAACACTTTCTTGGTAAAGTACAAAGTCTAGTACTTTTGGGGGTTGAGTCCCATCCGAGATTCGAACTCACACTTAAATTTGTGTATTCATAGTTTTCATGGGAGCCGTGCCAATTTACACTTATCAGTTTGGTACACAAAGTACGTGATCTAGACTACCAGTTGTCTGAATTCCAGTTTTGTGGAAGCCTCGGTGGCTGAGTGGGTTAGATCGCTGACTTTGTGTGCTGGCAATTAGGTTCCTCACTCTGAGAGTTTGCGTTAGATTCCCGGATGGGATTCAGCCCCAAAAGAGTACAAGAATATGTTTACTTTACCAAGAAACATGTGTTACATTTGACCACTTTCTAAATGGCAAAGTGTATTCATAACGAAGGATGTGTTATCGTTTTGATATCCATGGAAAATACACAAACAAGAAGTAGGTGAAAAGCATTTATTACCACTAATGAACATATGTGTATTCAATTTCATCTGCAGTGGATTATTTACTAATAGCATTTGGTCGTGACAAAACATAACAAATAATAATTTTTATATCACTGCTCCAAGCCACAGGAAGGACAAAACAATGAATTTTGCAAGAAATGCAGTACATGTCTTTTCAGGCAAATTATTCCTATTATATGTTCACAATAATCCCATCTCCCACGTCCGTCAACTCTCAATTGTTATGTTCTGTTTCAGAAACCCCTGTTTTCCTATCTCAGTTCCACCGAATGACCCTTTCTTCATCGGCCGCACTTGTTTGAGCTTCACACGATCTATACAAGCGCCTAATCTGCAGTGTCAACTTGACGGTACATGTATACAATGCCAAACATATACTGAATGTGAAGTTACATATAAACTGTTACATATAAACTTGTGACGTAGTAACACAACAACGTGAAGACATTGTTCAGAATGACCATTAATTTTGCTCTTACACCCAATTGTGTCTTAATGTTATACATAACGATTGAACATCGAGCTTAAAATATGTCGGATATTTCAACATGCGTTTCTGAGCCAGCTGTTCATGTTATGAATCAGTTCAGCTAGAATGAGGTCAAATTCCGGGCAGGAAGTACTTTGTCCATTAATTATGACCGCCATCATATTGCTGAGTGCGGCGTTAACAAATAAATAAACAAACTAACAAAACTGTGTTATGACTGAAACAGTTGTTGACTGTGATGTGAAATGACCATTTAGCATCATTTACACTTACTTGGGTAAAACAACATACAACATAAGCATAAATAAAAGTACCTTACTGCATTTACGACGAGCAAACGTAACGTTACCAACCAACATTGTTTGTTCCTATCTGATAGAAGAGGACCAATTACAAGGCAGAAACTTGTATTGTCAAAAGACATGAGTTAACAACATCATCAAGTTGGCCTAAAATGTACCCTATTGCAGTTTGAGATGCATCAGTTGTGAGGTTGAAGGGTTTGTTGGTTTGGATTTGCAAGGATGGGGGCTGTTGTAAGGGTTTGCTTTAGCTTTCTGGTTGCCTGTTGACCATTCAAAAGACGCGTCTTTTTCAGAAGGTTGTACAGAGGGGAGGCGATGCCAGAAAAAGTTTGCTACAAATTTGCGATAATACGAGACCAAACCTAAGAAATGACGCATGTCATGGACATTTTTATGGGGTGGAATCTGTGTGAATGAATCTATTTTTGAAGGATCGACATGGATGCCATTTTTGCTGAAGATGTGCCCGAAGTAGGTGACTTGTTTTGTCGCAAATTTACATTTGCTTGGTTTAAGCGTGATTCCTGCTTCTTTGATCTTTTGGAATACTGCCTTTGGGTGATTCAAATGATCTGAAAATATTAAAAAAAATATGAAGATGTAATCTACATTTATTAATATGTAACGCCAATTCATTTCTTTTAGTGCCTGAAAAGTTTTGCTGAAATGCCTTCGGAGCATTCTATTCCGAAACACCATCGGGAGTATTGAAGGCCGACTTTAGTTTTGTATCTGGATGGAGTGGTAATTCTTATCCCATTTTTAACCATGACAACGGGAGAGTGCCATTCAGATTGAATGATATTGGCTTCTAACATTTCTTGCACCTGTCTGGAACATTCTTTCCTAATGGCTGCGTTTTGCTAAAAAAAATTCGGAGTCTAATGTGTCTGGCGTCACCTGTTTCTATTTTGTGATGACGTATGTGAGTATGTCCAGATCCTGACGAACCTCAGGCAAATTCTGATCTTTGTGATTGGCGAAATGCATTTTACTTTATACTTGCACTTTCAAATTGTCACTATTTTAAAAACGCTTTTGAGGACAAAAGCTCCATGACGTTCAGGGTTATTGTTATACTGCAAACCACTTCAATAGGTTTCTTTAAAACTTCATTTATCCAAAATAGCTAATCGTTTCGATATGTTTCAAAGTGCACAGAAATTCTCCTATTTCTGTTAAATGTATACAGCAAACTTTCAGCGTATCCCCTCTAAACATAAGCCCCCTTCGGGCAGGACCCTTAATCTCCAGTGCTATCTCTAAATTTCGTCTATTAACACCTCCTTACGTCGCAGAATATTTCGTATGGTAAAAATTTGTAAAAATACTTCACGATACTGCTATTTTCATTGTTCTGTTTTAATATCACCTACATCTGTACAGTTATTATGTATTAGTTAACAGTGAAACATTCTATTCACGGGTTGAATTTGAAGTGTGTCGTTAAAAAAAAGAAGAAAACAAATCTCAGACCTAAAAAAATGTACAGAGAGGTACGCATACCTTTCCTTTGCGTGTACAAATCCTCGGAAAAGCAGCTTTGAAAATAACATCTATGAAAATGATACAAGAGACGTTTTCTTATGGTTATGGTTTAATTAGGGGCGGTCGGGTAGCCTAGTAGGGAAAGCGTTCACTCGTCGCGCCGACCCGGGTTCGATTCCCGACAAGGGTACAATGTGTGAAACCCATTTCTGGTGTCCCCCGCCGTGATATTGCTGGAATATTGCTAAAAGCGGCGTAAAACCATACTCACTCACTATGGTTTAATTATATAACATTGATGTTTTCAGGACCGGTGGAACAGGTGAATGCCATAACAGCCTTCTTGGATTCGTCTAATGTGTATGGATCGAGCAAGGAGGAGCTCGACATACAGAGACTGAACGTTGACGGTAATGTGATTGTAGCATAAGTGATAGATATTGGGAAATACATTGTGGGGACTCGAACACGTCGCAACACTATCCACTTGGTCACGTTCCATTCATCTGCCTTAACATGGCATGCCTGAGGTTTAGTGCTGCGAATGTGTGTAATGAGTGAATGAATGTTGAATTGTTTTTCGTCACATTCAACAATATTCACTCTATTCTAATAGAAGCTAAGAACCGCCCGATTCTTTCATATTTCTAGTTAATCAGTCATGGCATGACATATTGTAACGTGAAAGAATCGCACGTTCCTTAACTTCTGTTCACTTGTGTGCTAGTATATAATGACTGCCAGTATATAGTTGAGTCTAGAAAGACAAACCAGTGACAGAAAGCTGGAGCAGCAGTCCATGCAATACATAGTTACATCGAATCAGCCAAGGGGACAATCTACAGCTAAGCCTATTTTACATGATTTATCTTATTTTATTGACACTGACACGAAATAGACCTATCATATACGTCAAATGTTATAAGAACAAATACAGTAAGAATAAAGGACAGTCATAACTGATATGCCACAATAGGTTCCTACATATTATGGACACATCTGACTGGTTGGTAGTTCATCTACTGTTAAATAGCAGTACAAATGGTTGAAAATATGTTTTGTCACCGTGACATTAAACCTGCAACCCCCCTCCCCCCCTCAACACCACCTCTCAGTTTTGCAAAACGAACATATTTCTCAAACGCGTTTCTTTACTTGTAATACCCAGAATATCTGCACTTGTATACAGCAGGCGCATTTCATAACTAAAATATCGTTTTAAGTTTCAACAAGAACAATGCGTAATTGTGTCACTGTACTTTCTGGTCCTTCACTTGATAATCTGGTTTGTTTACAGGTCGCATGGCAGGTTTTGGTTTGGTTTGTTTGTTGTTTAACGCCGCACCCAGCAATATTCCAGCTATATGACGGCGGTCTGTAAATAATCGAGTCTGGACCAAACAATCCAGTGATTGACATCATGAGCATCGATCCACGCAAATGGGATACGATGACATGCATCAACCAGGTCAGCGAGCCTGACCACCAATTCCCGTTAGTCGCCTTTTACGGCAGGCATAGTCGCCTTTTAAGGCAAGCATGGGTTGCATGGCAGGAGTACTGCAGTTTGGTGTCAGGCAACAAACAGACACTTATTTCTTATGCAAATTATTTGAGTGGCGGGTGCTACGGGTCAGGACATGCTTACCCTTTCGCGAACACTTGAAGTCATCACTGATTTTCAGTGATCCATTCATATAATCACGCCCAATGCAATCTGTTTTAGTGGATATTTAGTAATGACGTTGACGTTGTTTTATTTCCTTCAGGTCTTCTTAACTTCACCGACTATAACCTTCTTCCAACTGATGAGAGTGAAACAGCCGCGGGAGTGTGCAATGCTCCATGCTTCGATGCAGGTTTGTGTTTTAATAGTTCATGTTTCTGGTATTATAAGGTGTCTATTGTTTGGTTTGCTGTGTCCGACAGTTAAGACATGACCCTACATCAACCGCCTCTGTGGTCTAGTGGTAGAGCGTCCGCCCGGAGAGCGTAAGGTCCGGGGTTCGATCCCCGACCGCGTCATACCAAAAGACGTTTAAAGATGGTACTTGTTGTTTCCCTGTCTGGCGCTCGGCATTAAGGGGCTAAAACAAGGACTGGTCGGCTCGGAGTCAGTATACTGTGTCTGAGTGGGGTATTCATGTTAAACTGCGGCATGGTATCTCAGTGAGCTAGCACTATAAATCGGCATCAGTCCGGCCTAGTACAAGCAGCCACACAAACACACACACGTACATGCACGTCGCTATATAAGTGCAATAATCCTGGACGCGACGTTAAACCCCATTTCACCTCACCACCCTACATCACGGTTGAGAACACCACCTTCATTACTCCTACAAAGATTGGATGACCGATCACATGTCTAACAAAATATTTCCCGTGGGTTTGTGACTGAAAAGTTGATATCTTAAAAAAATTCATATCGATTCACGTACATGTATCTTGAATAATGATGATTACTAAAAATGCAGAGTGGAAACACCATGGGATCCGTTCACTTAATGCTTCAACTGTAGCAGAGTCGACATGATGCACACATGCGCTTGACACATCGATGTGGGTAGGTCAAACGGCGACGTTTGACGTTTGGCAAGTACAAATACTCATTGTGTAAGGAAAGAGGGATATAGATGTAGGTCAGTTACCCATCATTTTCCCGAGGCAAGGGAGTCAACTGACTATAAAAGTCCACTTTCCATCCTTGCCGAACTTGGATGGAGTTTCCAGGCTCGATCGTAGCGCCACCAGTGACTATTACGAGTTATTTCTCTTCTATGTCCCTCCTATTGACCAATCATATTCCACCTCTCATATCACTTGCATTTGCTTCAAACAAAATGGGGGGCGGTCGGGTAGCCTAGTGGTTAAAGCGTTCGCTCGTCACGCTGAAGACCCGGGTTCGATTACCGACATGGGTACAATGTGTGAAGCCCATTTCTGATGTCCCCCGCCGTGATATTGCTGGAATATTGCTAAAAGCGGTGTAAAACCAAACTTACTCACTCACTCAAACAAAATGGCGGCACCCATTCAGCCTCAGCATTGGTAACTTACCGATAACTTCACTTGTCTAATAATATAGTTTAAGTAAATAACGATGCCCTTCATTCTTACATCTCATCTATTCAAAGACTACATACGGTATGGTAAGTCCGATCCGTCTTTGGCACTGTTCATCTTTGTCAACTGTACACGGATTTCCAAAGGCATGTTCGCGCATTTTTCCCTACCGAACCAGAACTTAAAGCAGGCGTAATATAAATTCAAGATGAAATACATTTAATTTGTCTTAACAGACCCAGATAATTTAATTTTAAATAAAACATTTATGAATTTTAAGGCATTCATTACTGTATTACTTTCGTAAACAAACTTATGAATGAGGGAGTTATTGAATACGTCAAAAGTAACAACTGCAAGGGCAAAGTTCAGAACTTTACGTGTGTTTATACAGTACCAAGTCGGTAATAAGATTTCTGTCCTTTCTATTCACAATTTGTACACCTTACGGTTTATTTCAATACAGGCCAACATCATACTTTATGGTATCATTATGGTATTTATCAGAACAAGTTTACATTTTATGTTTTGTTTGTTTGTTTGTTGTTTAACGTCGCACTCAGCAATATTCCAGCTATATGACGACAGTCTGTAACTTATCGAGTCTGGATCATACAATCCAGTGATTGACATCATGAGCATCGATCCACGCAAATGGGATACGATGACATGCATCATCCAGGTCAGCGAGCCTGACCACACGATCCCGTTAGTCGCCTCTTACGACAAGTAAAGTTGCCTTTTACGGCAAGCACGGGTTGCTGAAGACCTATTCTACCCCGGATCTTCACGGGTCCGATTTTATGTGTCACATTTTCTTATAACATAAACATAACATTTATATTACTTAAATTTGGGTTGCGTTTTGGTGAAAACACTGAAACGTCTGGGATAATGTGGGTGAGGTGATGTGAGGTAAGGTGTGTGAGTTTTAGCGATTTATAGTGCAAGCCCACTGAGATACCATACCGCAGTTTAACATGGATACCCCACACAAACACAGAATAGTGACTCCGAGCCGACCAGTCCTTGTTTTAGCCCCTAAATGCCAAGCGCCAGGCATGGTAACAACCAGTTCCGTCTCTAAACGTCTTTCGGTATGCCGCGGCTGAGGATCGAATCACCGACCCTCCGCTCTCCGGACAGACGTTCTGTCCACGACACCACAGGGGCAGTCCGATATCGTTTTACACACTAATTATAAGTCACCAATACAAATTACCTCAAGTTCAAACTTCGCAGCGAGACTATGTCAGTTTTAATTCCAAGCCATTGGGTAGTCTGTGGCAATATGCTGTGTTTTAATCTGTGCTACTTTCTTCAGGTGATACCCGTAGGAACGAACAGATGGGTCTAACCAGTATGCATACCCTATTAATGAGGGAACACAACCGTATTGCCAGGACTCTTAAAAAGTACAACCCACATTGGAACGATGAGAAACTCTTTCAAGAAAGTAGAAAGATCTTAAATGCAATGGCTCAGAAAATAACCTACAGCGACTTTCTAAATATCGTCCTCGATCCTGAGACACGATGGAAAAACAACATTGATTCAACCGGACCTGGGTATGCCAATGTCTATGAGCCATCTATCGACCCCAGTATTCGGAATGTTTTTGGTGCTGCTGCCTTTCGGTTCGGACATACCCTTGTACGTACATTCTTCAGCCGACGTCGCCCGAATTATTCAGTCAAAGTCATTCACAGATTGAGTGACCTTTTTGGCAAGACCAAAATCATAAGGGACTCCAAAGGAAATGCTGTGCATGAATTCTTACGTGGCCAACTTGTCGACACTGCTGGCAGGTTTGACCGGTTCATAACTCCTTCCTTGACCAACGAGTTGTTCAAGAGCGCAACAAACAGTTTGGATCTGGCAGCGTTCAACATCCAGCGTGGGAGGGATCATGGCACACAGTCGTATAACGCCTGGAGACAGTTCTGTGGACTTCCAAGGGCCTATTACTTCTCAACAGGATACGGCGGCTTCACGGACCACAACGAGGACGCCGTGAATCAGCTTGCCAAAGCATATGCTGGCTTGTGGGTACATCCTTTCTAACTCAACGTTGTGATTTTAAAAGAAGTGTTTAAAAAATACGGTTGTCCTTCTGTTACGCAATTTGCGAGAAGTATTTTATTATTGTGACATACATATTTTATGGCTGTTGTTTTTACACAAAGACAATATTACAGGTATTAGATGTTAACTGTCTATCGGGGGAGAGGGGGGCAGGGAGAGGTGATAGGCTGGTGGTTAAAACTTTCGCTCGTCTCGCCGAAGACCCAGGTTCTATTGCCCACATAGGAATAATGTGTGAGGCCCCTCCCTTGTGTCCCCCCGCTGTGATATTGCTGGAATAATGCAAAAAGCAGCGTAAAACCATTCTCCCCACTGTCTATTATCTAATTTGAATATGTCGTCACAAGTTTAAACTCGCAAACATGTTGATTATGAGTATCAAAATATACACTTGCGATCACATGGTGAACTTGCAAGAAGCGTTCCCTATCTCTTGACCATTGATTGCCATGATGTGTGTACGATTGTAAAGTTAACGTCTTAACAAATGTAACAATCATATTATCTGATTGGAAAGAAAGGCATTCCGATTACGCTTCTTCCTGGGTAATTTAGGATAACTTAGGTTTGTTGTACTGCTGGTGATTAGTTTGTGGTTTATTGTACACATAAAAGTTAGTTATAAAACATAAGCTTTCTAAGAGACATGTCAATGAAATCTAGGATGGGGTTCTTTGGGGTAAGACCCCATTTCCACTCAATATTCTCTCCAGTTTCTTTATAGTTAGTTTCACGTCTTCAGTTATAACCATACTTCAAATTCGACATTTAACCTCGAGCAATTACCTGAGATGAAACCGTATGTGGTTTAAACACGTTTTGTTAACATTCACCCAAGACTCAAGCATGATAACTGGTAACAGTAGAAAACCTTAATCCCGTTTCTTTTAAATATTGGGCGGTGCTGTAATATAGTGGTTAAAGTGTTCGCTCATCAGGCCAAAGGCCCGGTTTCCATTCCCCACATGGGTACAATGTGTGAAGACAATCTTTTGGTGTTCCCCTACGTGATAATGCTGGAATATTGCTAGAAGCGTAAACATATATTCCCCCAATATTTAAATACTTACCATTCCAATAACCACCAAAGAATATTGGTGATATGTTGAGATTATCTTTGGCTCAATCCCATATCTTACGAGTTCCCAATATTTGTCCGAAGCCGCATGATCGAGGTCAGATATTGGTGGAGGAAGGTACACATCGCTATAGAAATTAGCAAATGATAATCTGTTTGTCTCTTTATTCAACACTGACTTGCTAAAACATATTTACACTCTATTTAAAAAGGAATCAGGGAATGTAGCTGTCTGCAACAAGAATAACGCTTTAAAACGCTAGAAATAGAAACCTTACCTTGGAATGATTTGCATAGTTTCTACTTCAGGAAATATCAGTTCTTCAACCCCACTATAAATAGTAATAATGTTAGCAGCAACACTATTACTATTATGGTCAGATTAAAATGAAAAATGCAGCAAATAGGGTTAGGGTAATCCTGGCACAGTCAGGCTGGTAAGGCTTATCATAGGCTGTGGGCCCTTGCCCCCCCCAGACAGCGAATGGGACTTCTCCCAGGAAGCGCTGCCTAGTCAAACCCACCAGGAACTTTTCAGAGAATGTGCAGACACCCCAGCATTCCTGGAAGCAAACCCGGGTACTCTCCCAATGTCAGTCAACAGACTGGGAGGTACCAAACCTAAGGCACCGAGAACAATGGGGAGTCGGACAAGTTGGTATTTCGGATGCAAGCGTGACATTTCGAAAACTAGGTCCGGATATTTGCCATGTTTTTCCTCAATCTTGTCAACCACATTAGTGTCAAAAGGACAGACAATTCAATAATATCAATGTTTTCATTGGATTTATCAAAAAGGACAAGATCAGGTTAGTTAGTCTGGATACGTCTGAGGCTTTAAACGGGCCTATTCCAAATTCTTCTTCTTCTTAAATGCCTCTAATAATGAAAGCAACCAAACAATTTCCATAATAATAAGAAATAACTTCTATCACCGTCCATTGTACGATTCAGACTGTATCAATTCACATGTGAAGTAAACCCTTTTCTCTCTCGATATGTAAAAGAAATAACCCTTCTTTTTGTAGAAGCCCGGATGATGTTGATATTTTCCCTGGTGCTATATCTGAAAGACCTGTACCAGGTGGCATTGTCGGACCAACCTTTGCGTGTTTAATCGGGAGACAGTTTGGATTAATCAAAAAAGGGGATCGCTTCTGGTACGAACTGAACAGACCGGTGACAGGTTTCACAAGAGGTAAGAAAAAAAAGCAATGCCATGGATTCGTTAATGCAAGCGGAGCGAAAGTTAGTAAATCAAACAGAATAATGAATACAATCCTTTTCTAAGTGAAACAAATATTGCAGTAAAGCGTCAATATCATAACATATCCAGCCATTATGTCAGAAAATAAAGTTGCTGATGTGTATCAGTATTAAAAAGTTTTAAACGAAATGACTTGATAATGTCCTTCAAATTTATCACATAAAATCTTTTTATGCAAAAAGCTGGTAATTTTACAATATGGAAAACAAATGGGGTGCAATCATCGAAAATACCGTGCTGTATCTTCGTAAATATATTATTTGTGTACCTCATTCACAGACTGCTGCACAATTAGTGTCAAAATATTTGTATTTCTTCAAAACAAATGGGGGAGTCATTTGAGCCTGGGGAGTTATCTGAACCTACGACGGGGGAGTCGTTTGGGCCTAAGGGGAGTCGTCTGAGCCTAGGCTCAAATAACCCTAGAGTCTTCTGAACCTGGGAAGTCATTTGAGCCTCACCACTGAACCTCTATCATTATAATACACCGTGTAATCAATCTCATTTAAATCAGATCTTAGTTTCAAACTGGCGACTTCCATTCCAGACTACGCTTTGAAATTTTTTTGGACAAAGTTCTCGATTATGAAAACTAAACACAAGAACAATCTGGAATGTCCCATAGGTGACCGAGATTGCATGTCAGTATTTCCCACGGGCGATGCAAAGTCTCTTCCGTTCAAATGTTTATCCAATTGAAACGAGAGATAGACGAAGATTTTTGACGGAATCAGTCGTACAGACCGTAACTGTCGTTCGAAATAATTGCATGATTAGGAAACCCTTTTCGTCTGTCACTTTCCTGATCTGGAAAGCGACGCTTTGATACGACAGATGAAAAGTCGCACAGACGCGGCCCGTAATGGGATGCCCTAGGATCTTTCTTTAGCGGTAGGGAGAACTAAGATATGATATTTATTAGATTGCCTGGTTATAGTTGGACAATTAAACTTAAAGCCATACGCGATGGTTGCATGGTAGTAGAGCTTGTCTTAAACATTTTAAACAAAATAAACCAATTTATGGGTGACAACTCCTTTAATATACTATCCTAGCGACGTTGAGGTATATATCCTTATACCTTTGTCATGCTAGACTGATTAATCTGAACATGGTAGAAGTATAAAGTAGGTGAAGGATTAAGAGTACTAGAAATTTACATACTTGGAAGAGAATACAATGAGTGGGTTAACATTAACAGTACATAATTCTAAGATTACTGATCAGTCGTGCTTAACTGATTTTAAGGATCTATAGGGGCGGTCGGAGAGCCTAGTGGTTTAAGCGTTCGCTCGTCACGCCGAAGACCCGGGTTCGATTCCCGACATGGGTACAATGTGTGGAGCCCATTTCTGGTGACCCCGCCGTGATATTGCTGGAATATTGCTTAAAGCGGCGTAAAACCATACTCACTCACTTACTCACTCTCTTAAGGATCAATACCGAAACGTCGCTATAGTTTTATATAAAAGAAGTTGATATCCATAAATTGTGTCTACTGTGTCATCCGTAAACTTCTAAGGGATGCCTATGAAACAAGTCTGAATGTTGATCCTAGATCCTGAATGTTGATCCTAGATCCTAGCATGTTTTTAATGATTATGCATTCAGTTAAGTATCATGGTAATTGCGGGAAGCTGGATGTAGGTCCTAGAAGACAACACCAGATAACATACATGCATCTAGGATGTGTGATGTTGGTGGAGGTAGTCAAGGCGATGTCGATGATATGCTGAGCCGGTCTTATACAATCCCCAGCCCAGCTGGCTGAGATCCGGAAGGCCAGCCTGTCCAGGATCATTTGTGACAACACGGACACCTTCTTTGTACAACAAAATGCCTTCAAGAAAGTACATAGATACAGGTACGTTCGGAGACAAATATGACAAATCATGTCTACTTTTAGACCAAACATTCCTTACTGAGAAATACACGATACAATTATGTTATTGAGGCTGAAAAGCCACATACGTTACTGGAACCTGAATCAAGTGGTCCATTGATGATGTTTATTTGTTGTTTAATGCCACGCTCAGCAATATCCCTGCTGTATGAAGGCGGTCTGTAAATTATCGAGTCTGTACCAGACAGTGATAGATATCATGAGCATCGATCCACGCAATTTGGATATGATGACATGGAATCAACCGACCCATTTTCGTCTCTTATGCTTACCCGGAGTTTTGGCGTAAGAACCGACTTGTGAGGATTGATTGGTTACAAATAACCACCTGATCAGTTGTGTGTCATCCTTCCCCGGATCCGTGGTTTGTTGCTCTTGCAGTCAACCATTGGTTGTCCTTCCCCAGACTCGAGAGTATCTGCAGACCACAATGATACAACATGGGTATTTGAGCCTGCGCATTAAACGACTTTTGTCAGTGAGGGAATTAGTGAGTGTGTCTGTGGTGGGTGGGTGGTTGGGTGAGTGAATGAGTGTGAGTGAGTGAGTGAGTGTGTCTGTGGTGGGTGGGTGGTTGGGTGAGTGAATGAGTGTGAGTGAGTGAGTGAGTGGGTGTGCGAGTAAGTGGGTGGACGTGTGAGTGAGTGGTTGAGTTTGAAGGAGGGTGGTTGAGTGGTTGGGTGCGAGTGAGTGTACGAGTCAGTGAGTGAGTGGATGGGCGTGTGTGAGTAGTTCAGTGTGAAGGTGGGTGAGTGAGTGGATGGGCGGATGTCTGGGTTTGTGTGTGAGTGGGTGTGCGAGTTAGTGAGTAAATGAGTGAGTGAGGAATCAAGCATTTTACCATCCAGGCAGCACCAACATTGTCACAGGAGTGAGAAGACGAGAGGACCGACGTTCCCCCAACTTGTAATTTCTTACTGATATTATGTGCTAAGTCACCTCTGTTTTCAGGAACCCCTACCAGTCCTGTTACGATCTCCCACAAGTAGACCTGAGTAAGTGGTGCGAGTGGTCCTCCTCCCATTGGTAGAGTCCCCATCTCTCCAAGCCAGCCTCATTGCCATGGTTCATCATGCAGACACAATACAATCACCGCGGATGAGATGCCTGTTAAATGCAAAACACCTGCGATCCGGAATGAATATGAATGTCAAAATAACACTTTAAATGATTTTGAATAAAATTCAGATATATGACAAAACACAAACCCATTTATTTTTCACTCATATTTGAGAGAACATTGACTGAAAAGAACATTATGTAATTACACACGCAGAAAAGCGTTAACGTTGACAGCTTGTCATGTTCAGGCCTTTTTTAAGTACGATTTTAAAAACGATGTCTAGTCAGATTTTTCTTTATATTCTCCTGCCGAACTAATAACTTTAGGAGGAAATCCGTTAACCAACTTCATCTAGGTAGCGACGGCTTTATCGACTCTCTTTAACGTAAAGATACCACAGAGAACGACATACATTGACATATACCATTATAAAAAGGTAGCAGTGTTACATGTCGATTCCCAAATTGAAATAATACGTGAACCCGGAAGCTTTCGTAAAAGAATTTAGTGCGAAACCAACAAACTACCAACAAATGGTATTCAATCAAAAATGGTATCACCGAATTAACTAGGTTTGCAAGTCAACACAAATTGCTGCACAGCAATTACAATGGCAGTACACAATATAGCGATAGTACAATATTCAATGGGAGTATTAAACGTGAGAGCAGTGGAAATGACAATGACAAGAATAATAACTGTGATGACATGATAAACCTCTAAATGGCACGTACGACTCGAACTATATTTGTTGTTGTTTCAGATACATCATCCTGAAGCAAGGGAGTTAGCTGACTGTAAAAGTTCAGTTTCCACCCTTCCATCTTTGAAGGGTTGAATCTTGGAGTTCGATATATTTTTAGTCCATAATTCCAGCCTTGTTCGGCAAGGGTGGAAACTAGACTTTTACAGTCAGTTAACTCCTTTGTCTTGGGAAGATGTTTCAGATATTGTCTGATTTCAAATGTCCATTGTATTAAATAAATGATTAGCACTGTTGTATATTGATCGATATATCTATTAATCTGCTTGTTTGAGCTCATGTGTTCATTCCGAACAAGCGATAGGCGATGTGACGATGCTAAGACATTACAATTTTAAGGTATACATTACCATTCAAAGACATACGTGATATGTTAAAAGATATTATAGGCAGGATGTTAGGAATGGTAGCCATCAGACGTTTATTAGAGAACCGGTTAGCCATGACTAGAAACGAGTGACGGAGGTTTCTTCAAAGAAACCAAACAATCCGTATATATGTTATATATATCTACTGAGACAGTTTGTTCAACCGATCCAAGACGCAAACAATTATTAATTTGACATAACACCACTGATACATTACATCTTAAAACCAGACTATATCAATGGCGTGAGATGAATCGCTGAGACGCGCAAGACTCCCAGCTGGTGCTACGGCTTAGATAAGTCATCTTTGTTGAGTTCTAGTCGAACGTTGCGGTATACAACATATACAGTGGTACGACGTATGAACACATCGATTCAACGAGTGAGACCTCAGATCAAACCGAAAGTATGTTACCTTTAGTTTTTTTTTCCACTGCGCGTACCACCAATCTCACTTAAAGAATACGGGATCGGGTGGTCAGGCTCGCTGAATTGGTTGATGCATGTCATCGATCCCAATTGCGTGGATCGATGCTCATGATGTCAATCACTGGATTGTCTGGTCCAGACTCGATTATTTACAGACCGCCGTCATATAGCTGGAATATTGCTGAGTGCGGCGTTAAACAACAAACAAACAAACAAACTAAAAGAATATTACGAAACACGAATGCGGTGTTCGATAAGTCACCTAAACTGATGTGTAGTGTTATACAATACGGCAAGACATGCATACCGAGGTCATTTCTCATGTTCAGTTTCGCGAAAGTTTACCAACAGAAACGGAACTGTACTCTAGGTCTGAACAATCAGATAAAACATGGTCTGAGTGCTGGATGATTTAATGATAGAAGTACGCAAAAGCCGCCTCATGCTTAATGTATATACCGCCTTATCTCATAATCGCGGCATGACCACCACCAACGTACAACAATCAGCCTATCCTATAGGCGAATGTAACAGAAATATATTTCCGAACACCCAAATGTTTATCTTACAAACGCTCGTTGAGCACACGAAAATATAATTCTGGCTTTTCAAATGTTCCCGGGACAAGCTAACTATTTCTCCGAGTCGTTTCGAGAAAACAGACGGTACGATCATCTAGCCATAGACGCCAGTCCCAATAGCACACTGTACGGCCGAGGCACACTAGTACATTTCCTGGTGAATTCTGCACCGTGTATTTGCGTGACGAGACAAGTCTATTCCTAATTCAATCACCGTACGGTTTCCTCTTTCCATCTGTGAATCTATCTCTCCTTTAGACTCAACATGATGCTTCTTCAAAAGAAGCGTACATAAAATCTTTGAAAAGTGACCAGATGTTCAGGTGACAAACTGCAAATAAAGGTCAGAATGAGTGAACAGATTCATAAGAATATAAACTTGTAAAGTTATTCCGATCCAGAAACGAACACAAGGCAGCAGTTTAAAACTATAAATCATCATTATTTTACATAATGTTTTGATTTGAAACATACCTCTAGAGGATGGGGTCGGTCGGGTAGCCTGGTGGTTAAAGCGTTCGCTCGTCACGCCGAAGTCCCGGGATCGATTCCCGACATGGGTACAATGTCTGAAGCTCATTTCTGGTGTCCACCGCCGTGATATTGCTGGAATATTGCTTTAAGCGGCGTAAAACCGTACTCACTCACTCTAGAGGAGAGTGTTAAAATTATATCACATCGTTACAGACAGGTAATTCGTTCACTGCCAAGCAAAACTGTGAGTAATAAGGAGGCTCCTGATATCGCATCATTATATCTTAAAACTGTGGATTACTTCTCTACTTCGCTACTTCAAGACGACAGCGATAGTACTGAAAACAACCGGTCAGGTGACAAACTAATGATAAACTATTGACACGAGAGACCTATCAGCGTCTGATACAGAAGAAGAACTCCAGTCCGCTGATGCTCAAAAAGGAGATGAAGAGGATGTAAGCAAGACAATATTATCCAATGAAACTACCCCATCGGTCTCAGATGAATCTCATTACAAGTGGTAAACAAGAATCAATCCTCTTTGGACTCAAACACAGATCAATCACCCAACCGATGTTCCTTCAGAGATGAATGACCCGTTAACGTTAGAGTGTATTTCAGGCGAGATATTCGGATCTTGTAGGGCCCTTCCTTGTCTGGGGGTCGGGCCATGTCTTCGCAGGCTTTGTAACAGTTCACCTGAGATCTGTACATACACGTTTCTCCCTTTCTAATTGTCGGTGGTCATATGGTTTCTGCCTACGACAGACATGACTGAAAAACTATAGTAAAATTATGCATTATATTAAACTATTAATAATATATTAAATATTAGAGAGTTTGAAGGGCAAAGTTGCATTGTCGAATGAACAGTTCTTTACACAAATATTTTAGTTGTACATATATAATGTTGTTTTGCCTTAAATATAGCTTCATTTTCTGTAACAACGTGATCTGCATTGCCGTATAACAGTAGGTGTACATCAACAGGTATATTATGAATACTATTTTAAAGGCTGTTAAACATAATTTCACGCTGATGACTAAACAATGTACATTCCACGAGATAATGATATTATGCATTTTCACATGTATTTGAACATGTACAGTTCGGGTGATCTTTTATACCAATTCAATATAAATCATAATTTGATTGACTGCACATGTATCTCAGTTTTGTGCGTAAGATATCATATTTTCTTTTTCCGTATGCGAAGTACGCAGGTGACGTGGGGTGGCGCTTTTGTAAAGAATTTTTAAAACAAAAAATTGCAGAATTTCGACCTGATAACGGAATAGAGTTCCACAATCGGGTAGCCGAAGGGTAAAAGGATTCACGCGAAGGTCTTAGTCTTGTGAGAGGAACACTGTTGTTTTCAGAGTTTCTGAGACTGTATGAGTTTTTTGAAGCGACGTTTTTTGGTGGAATATCTGTTAGATAAGAAGGGGCCATATTATGATTAATTTTGAGGAAAATACAATGTTTACGTTTCTTTCTACGCCCAACTGAGGGTTCCCAACCGGTTTCGTAATAAAATGAATGCCTGGGGGCATATTTAGGTAGACCAGTCACAATGCGTGCATCTTCTAATTGTTATTGTTCTAATTTCTCACTTTGTCCTTCGGTGCACCATCCGATACCCCACATACGTATTCAAAGTGTGGTCTTATAAACATTGTATATATATATTGTAAATAGTATTTCTGTGTGAAGTAGATGTTTGAGTTTTCTCATTGAGTAAATCATCTTGGAAGTTGTTTTTATTATGGTATCTATACGACTTAAGCAATATCATTTACATAAACAATAAAGAGTAAAGGACCAAGCACGGACCCCTGTGGCACACCAGCTTCGCTAATAGTATATATAGCTTTCCTTAATAATTTATGACACATTTTGTCCGGCCCGGAGGCTTTGTTCAGAGGCAAACATTTTATTATGTCTTCAATTTCCTTTTTAGTTATGTTTATGTTGTTCATCTCTGTCCGAAATGTGAAATCGGGCATAGTTTTTCTTGTATTATGAACATTAGATATACTGAAAATATTTATTCAGTTTCTCTGCCTTTTCAATATCAGTAAAAATTATCGGGTGTTCGTACGTATCATACTGTTTGAGAGCGTCTTCGCTGTTAGCTGAGCCTGAGATCTTTACAACATAACGTAAAACTCTCCAGTAAGAGGGTTTGTTTTCTGCATGTAATTCTGATAAGCACTTCATCGAGGTTTAATAAAAATGTTCTTTAGCGAGACATTTCATGTTAATTACTTTGTTTCTCTGATTTTTATAGGCCCGAATGTCGTTATCCTTATGACTTTTTCTAGCCTTCTTTTTAATCTATCTCTTTTCCTGGATTATGGTCTTAAAGTGAAATCATACCAAGGTTTGTCCTTGCACATTTTAACATATTTAACAGACTACATGCTTCATCAACATTTGAATTTGGACTAAATAATTCATCCAGCAAGTGTTTTCAATGAGCGATTTTAGTTTATCATTTGTCACCGTTTTTAAAACATGAAATT